AGTTGTTATGAAATATTAGTACGGTACTAGTCATGATAGTCGAATGTGCTCAAGCGGGGTCAAGTTTTTTTAGTGACTTAAGATTCTATCTAGTTCCATGGTAAGCTACGAGGCTTGTGTTATGGTTACCAGATAGTTAATATTCTATACATATTATTGATAAACAAAATTATAAAAAATTGACTGGAATACAGGCATTCGTGCTTATCACACAAATGAATGCCGCCTGCGGGACTCAAACTCGTGATCTCTGGCACAGCAAGTAAACTCTCAACAAACTGAACCAAACGTGTCGTCAAATTAAATATAACTATGTAAATTTTTTGATTTGAAATTATAGATACGTCACTAAATTCAACTTTTATTCTCACTACACTAAAACTAAAAACAATAGCTATCTTTAAAAAAGTAATGTGATCCATTATTGTAATATTCCTTAAAAAAAATAAACCTTAAATAAAACAAAACGTGGGCCTCGCACTTACAGTAATCCATTGTTGTATTTCAACAATCAAATTACAAACAGCATTAGTAGATGTTATCTATGAAACAAAATATTTGTAATGACTCTTCAATAAAATATCATTTATTATTACTTACTGTGGCTTCTGGTGTTTTAAGAACGAATATTAGGTTCAAAAACAAATTTAAAACTAAATAATGTTAAATTATATTAGACTCATGACGTTCAGTAAACAATGTAATAATTTAATGCTAAGTAAAATATTTTGAATTGAATTCAATATCATTATCAGCACCATCTAGTTCCATGGTAAGCTACAAGGCTTGTGATATGGATACCAGATAGTTGACACACGTATAACTTGAAATACATACATATTATAAATAAATACATACACATCATAAACACCCATGACTAGAGTACAAACATTCGTGCTCATCATACAAATGAATGCCCCCAGCGGGACTCGAACCCGTGACCGCTGGAACAGCAAGTAGGGTCCCTACAAACTGAGCCAACGTGTCGTCAAAGTATAATAAGTAATTTAGAAATTTGACAATAACCAATTGTGTAAGGAAATATTACATTTCGGTTTCTTCTGTCAAGATATTCCCAGTAATAGCTCGGAGTTGGGATGTTGGCGGTGTTTAGCCCCCGAGCTTTGGAGAGCACCTAAAGCCGTCGGTTCTACGTCTGCTTTCTCACAAGTCATGTTGAATTGTAGGCCCACCGGAGTTAGAGACAAAGTTTTAAACACCATTGGCCACCGTTGTTGAAATCGGTCAGAAGGACATTGTTCAATGTCCACCCTTTTAAATACGACTTGAATGTAAAAACAATCTCAATTAGTTTATTACATCTAATCAATCTAACGCTTCTCATAAAACTTGATTTCGCAATCGAAATTGTGTCGCCAAGCTAATTTTCTCCAGACAAAAAGGCAAAAATTTAGAACTATCACGGTTAAATGGAATATATTTCTGTGGTGTCGGGGAGGAACACGATAAGCACAAAGACACATTTTTTCAGTTTTTTTTTAAATATTTGATTAAATACATACCGATACTTTGACCTATTTAAATAATTTAAGGACCGTTGTATTTTCTTCAAAATAGAGTTATTAGGGTTAGATTAAAATATAATTTGGAAAATTTTAATGTCATTGTAGTACCTGACTAAAATTCGACCAAAATCGAGTTATATCCTGCTCCCTCTCCCCGACACCACAGATTTAAACAAAATTTTGACAACAAGTTTGGCTCAGTGTATAGTGACCCTAGTTGCTGTGCCAGCGGTCGCGGGTTCGAGTCCCGCTGGGGGCATTCATTGTGTGATGAGCACGAATGTTTGTACTCCAGTCATGGGTGTTTATATTTATAATATGTATGTATTTAAAGTTTATATATATATATATATATATATATATATATATATATATATATATATATATATAGTGTATCAACTATCTGGTATCCATAACACAAGCCTCGTAGCTTACCATGGAATGAGATGGTGCTGTGTATTAATGTCCCAACATATTTAATTTATTTTATTTATTTTAAACATGCAACTATTTAAATTGACCGTCAACAAAAAAAGCAGACCGAAAATTCAATATTACTAGAAAGTAGACATAGATAGTTTTCATTTGCAGATAATAATTTAAACATCCCAACAAAAGAAATATTTGTTGCCCCTAAATTTAACTAGGGCATTACTCGGGCCCTTTTATTTCGCACCCTATATTATTTATTGTACCATTTGGTTAACTTTTACAGATATACGTACACTTCATTTAGAAATGTCGAGGTGACATTTAGTTTTTTATTTACCTACATTTGACATTTTCATCGGATTTTATTGGTAAGGCCGTGTGCGGAGCATTAATTTTGCTATTCACTAAATATAATGGCCTATATGTTTGGTTTTTTTTATTATAAAAGAACACAGTTGTGCTTAGATCATTTTTAAGTAACAACTAAGGCACATGGTGCTGATGTATCTCGTAGTGTTAGCGTCTTGATTTGCAGTACTTTTATGCTTAACAAAATTTAGTCTATTCCATGTTTAGTGACTCTCGTACGATTCTAAATTCAGTGTACCTACTAATTAAAGTCAGATAATTTTATTACTCATTAAAAATTCTAATTAAAGTTATTGAATTTTTTGATCAAAAAAATCTTAATAGCAATCTAAAATGTGAAAATTTGCGTTTAAAATAAATATTTAAAATGTTAATTTAAAATGTTTTAAAAGTGTTTAAAATGGTTATTTTTTTAGTACGATAGTTTAAAAATCATACAGTTCTTATCATCTTTAAATAAAAATGGCGTGTGGCACACAATAATTATGCGAGTTAATAGTGCTGGATTTATTTATTGAATAAACGCGAGCGATGCCTAAATAATTACACGGAAGAGCTCTTGAATACTTCATGAGATAGACTAAGTTATGGATAGAAGTGGAGAATTTTTTTATAATGTAAATATTATATTCTAGCTATTGCCCACAGTTCTGTTCGAATATATATATCTATTTAATCCAGTTACTGGGTCAGTAGAAAGATCATTGCTTTATATTATAGGTATGTAAAAGATTGATATGAGCTACTTGCATAAAATGATCAGCTCAAGTATCTTTAAAACCATTTACTATATTTTTAATCAAATCGTATGTAATGGCTTCTTAGTCGAATCTATTCAGCCTTCCTCCTGATAATTATAATTGTGATATAAATCAAATTAAAAAAAATATAGTTAAAAAAATACCTCAAAAGCATAAAAAGGACGTAACCAATGTGTATGAAATAATTTTCTTACCTATTCGTTATTCTTTGTATACTTGTAGTAAGTAAGTATGTCGATAAAAAATGCTTATTTATTAATCCAGAATATATGAACAATTCTTCACTGTGAAATTTTTGTAAAGTTCCAAATTTGACATTTATCAGTGTGATTTCAAATTTTACTTATATTATAATCACTAAATATAGAGGTTTGGTAGCTCTGTATCTTTTCAAGTTCTATGTAAAACTCGATAGCTTTTAAAATTAAACAACAATAATTACTGCGAGCTTTGTATGTTACATCACTATCAATGACTGAACAAGTGCTTTTAAACATGTATGAAAATGTTTTTATTTAAAACTTTTGATCAAGTTTAGAAAAGTTATACTTTTTTTATTTGAATTGTAAGGCATCATATGTAACTTACATTTTAAGAAAACCTCACAGATTTTTTTTTTAATTTATACGTTACGTCTCTTCATTTTTACTTTATTTGAACAAGTTTTAACATGGATTTAAGGACATTCAATTTCGAAAATCAAATAAACTATTGCTTAAAGTCTTCTAAAATTCAAAAATCTTACAATCTAAAAAAAGGCTTGCCTAAAATAATTTACACTAGCGACTCACCCTCGCTTCGCTCGGGTTCGACCCTGTTTTATGGTTGAATACCCGTACAAACTTTCATCCCCATTTTCACCCCCTTAAGGGTCAACCCTTAAAATCACCAATTGCTAAAAACAATCCTATTTCCTTCTCAGGGTCTCAAACTATCTTGCTACCAAATTTCACCTAAATTGGTCCAGTAGTTTCGGTACAAACAAACAAAAAAAAAACTTTCCTCTTTGTAATATTAGTATACATATAGATTAGACCTAATCTAATGATATCAAATTTGAATATATGGTAAAAATATTAATTCTAAAGCGGCATAGTTTGGAAAGCACCAATGTGATTTTTACAGTTACTCGTATTAGTTAAGTGATAGGCGATATTCGGTTATTATGTTAATTGTCGCTTCGTGTTACATCTGATATGAAAATTGTCGTGACTGTAATCGAACATACGACCCTTTGCCACGATATTGTTACATATTGGGTTTATCAAGAAAATTATTGTTTTCCTCGTTTGTTTTACGCGGTATTTTAAATCTACTAAAGTTTATTATATTTGTTAAATAATTTTACATTTGTTTTTTAATGTTTTTAATTATTACAGTTTAATAGGTATATCGGTATAGGTATTATTAATCAAATTTAAATCTGGTGTTCTTTTTTGAACAGCGGTTTGCAGTTTAATTTTAAATGTACAATGCCGTACATATTTACGATAGGTAATAAGTAGGTAAAGATATTTTTTTTGGTTTGGTGTAGAAGAAAATATGAACAGAATATTTGGTTATTAATTAGAATAAAACCACTGTAAATCAAAATTTAAATAAAAGCTTAGTTTTTAAATTTCTCAGCAGAACTGCATTCTCGAGTCTCAGAATGTTTTCCTTCGCCGCAAGACAAAGGTAATCATGTTAGAAATGATACGCACATAAATTAAGGGATTTGAACCCGCTTCTCTCGGTTTTTCATGCGAGCGCATTACCACTGAGCTGCCACCTCGTAGTAAGGCAAGTTCCGCTCAGCAGTGAGACTTAAAAAAAAGGCTGAATACAGTTAATAGTTCAAAAGTGCTTGTACTTAGAGTCTAATTAAGTTGAGTTTTGAATACGTCAGAAATAGCAGTCTTCTATCTTACAGAGATGCTCCTGGCCTTGCCGTACAGCCCCAACTCCTCGTCCGGAAGACTGTTGGAGTGGTCTGGTACCAAAAGTTGAGAGGGATGAGGACAGAGAACCGTGGCGACTACCCGATCTACGTCCCCCACTGCACTTTATGCATGATCGTGGTAACGTATCTATTTTAAAGAAATTATTAGGCAATGACGATTTTGATTTTGTTATTGTTTGTATCGCAGATATTGACTTGATTTCAAAAATTATAGGACGATCCCTGTCTGTTTCTAATGTCAAAACACAGCTTTTTTTTAAATAAATATAAAAGTATATAAAAAATATTAGTTTATAATTTGTCTGTATGTTTGTTCTGACTAATCTCCGAAACGGCTGGATCAATTTTGACGGGACTTTCACTGGCAGATAGCTTAATTTATAAAGAGTAACTTAAGTTACTTTTATTTTAGAAAAAGAATTAGAGTTCTTCGCAAAAAAATTAAAACTCATGAAATTGTGAATAAAATCCGAGCATGTATCTAGGTTGCACCCGAGCGACGCGAGGGAAAGTCGCTAGTTATGAATATAATCATGTTTACTGGTGAGACTAATTGCCTGTTACCTTTGACGCAATTAAATGCGGCTTAAGCTCTTTGCGACGGTCGATAATTCGACACAGTCCTTTAATTATGTAAACGTATCCATCTAGTCTCTACCGATACTATAAGTTCTGTGCATCTGTTATAAATTATAATGTAACAAAATATTTTAATATTTTGCATGTATTATTAGATTAATATATAGTATAATCCATTTGATTTAATATTTTTTGATTATCGTTTCGCTATTTTAGACGATGATGTCTGAAGATATTTATATTAGAGAACTAGCTTAGTTGAGTAAATTCTTAGCTATATATGAGGAAAATCGACACAGCTATTCGACAGTTAGTTAACGTATAACATAACCTATAAATAAATATAATGGTAAATGTCGTAAATATATAGGCAACTTAAACGATTTATTTTACTTTTATGTAAAAAAACTTGAATTTTGGCAATAATAATGCGGGTTCTCATATAACATCACACATAACTTATATATACCTTAGTATATAAATATAAGTCACGTGATTACTGCTATATTTTTTTAGTTTTCTATAAGCGATATCAATTAAAAGATGTGCTTGTCTTGGTGCTGTTCAGATCGAGAAACTATCTCCAGACTATACTAAAAAAATTAAACGTTTTGTTCACATTTTTTTTAGTTCGATGAGCAGTCGGATGATCGTCTTATGTATAAATAAATGGACAGATAATATATTATGTTATAAAATATTATATGTGGGTATCTACGGAAGGGATTTAGATTACCTATAATTTATTTTTATGGTCATGCTTTATTTACCTCTCATTTCAAATGGTGCAATAGTTTATTATTGATTCAATATATTTACCTAAATGTATTGTTTGCGTACTTTATCTACGGTAATAAGCGTTAAAAAGTATTTTTATAGTTCAACATTTAATTCTTTGTTTAGCTGTTTAAAATATTTATAATATTTAGCGTCTATCTAAATATATTTTAAGCTTGCTAGATAAAAAACTAGCGACTCACACTCGCTTCGTTCGGGTTCGTCTCTAGGTTGATTCCCCATACAAACTTTCATCCCCATTTTCACCCCTTTAAGGGATGACTTCCGGGATAAAAATTATCCTGTGGCTTTCCCAGGGTCTCAAACTATCTTCTTACCAAAATTCATCTAAACCAGTTCTGTAGATCTAGCGATTACCCCTACAACCGCACAAACTATACTTCTTTAGAATATTAAGCATAGATTTATATTAATAAAAAGTACTTATTTATATGTGAGATTATAAGACATTTTGTTGCTACAAAGTCATTATTTTCTTATTTAATTAATAAACCATTTTTTTTTCCAGAACGAGACAGCTGCGCTGCGTGTGTTGCACCTTTACCATTGCTACCGCCACCTGCACCCGCGCCTCATTAACTAATAATATAAAGTACTAAGCAATAAATATTATTTTCGGTAGATGGCACTGCCTCCAACCAAGCATAATGTTGCCATGCTTAAGAAATGTATAATAAAACGGGCTGTCATACAATGAGCTCTACAGGAATTTGAAGGTTTTATATTATTTTTATTTCTTTGGATGTAATTTGCTTATTCAAATTTGTATTTAATTCACAAAGCAACAATATTTATGATTTTTTATTATTGTCCAATGTAGACGGATTATTTCAAATTATTATATATAGAGTCTCTCTAAGACTGTTGTTAATTATTTCATTATGTTTGATATGACAACCTACCTGTAATTAATTAATAAATTAACTATTCTAGTCTAAATGTGAATTCATATAGAAACATTTGTAGATATTAATTTAGGTAATTTTGTAGAATAGAGTATACAAAGCAATCGAAATGAATTTAATTCATTTTCTTTCTAACTATAAATAAATTTGGTAAGTACTCTGTACTTTCATATAATATAATTGTATTATATTTTAATTTTTAAATGTCACAAGTAATGAGGAAAGTGGTAATAAATGATGTACATATAGTACCTTACAATAAAAGGTTAAAATTGTATTACATCAAAATAGGTATATTAAATAACATACATCAGCTAATATTAAACATACCGGCTTTATTTTCTTTTATAGTTTATATCTATGTAACAACGTGAAAATTATGTTATATGCTAAATTATACAAAAAAGAGAAACATCTGATCTGTATCATAAAATATATGTATTCTTTGTACAAAGATATTAACATTATATATGTATAAGAACCTAAAATGCTTAATCAAGTTCAAATTTTAATAATTATGTTACCTTTAATAGCTTAGAATTTCTAGTACATATTAATTTATTTTATCGTACTAGTCATGAAAAATGTATAGCGGAATTGTGAAAGTGAAATTTAATAAATATTTAATTTATGGTTTCAATCTTCAATACATATCATAAATTTCTAGTCTATTGTATAATTTATAAATAGTATTTAACATGAATACTAAATACTTATTATACAGTAAATAAAATGATAAGATAGACTATTATTTGTTTCATTTTATTCCCCCTATATTTTATGAAAATATCTATAAATAATAAGTAAATTAAAAAAAACACCTAATAATATATAACATTTCCAACATTTTAAATTAGTATGTAGAAGTTATCCGAATGTGAAAGCTCAAAGTAATTATTGTAATTTATTTAAAAAAACCTGTTCATTTGATATGCTTTACATCAATCTAAAATGAAATAATACATTAGAATGATTTAGTTTCATAGGTCTAAATTAATCGAGTTTAATTTCGCTATCAATATGGCGGTAGTAATAAATCAAAATATAATTTGAAATCTCTATTCTGTCTTTTTATACAAAGTAACGTTAACCTTTATTGCTTACAACTTTAGAGATAATCAGCTTCATAGCTGCATGCTGTATTATTAAACGTACATCAATAAATTCTGATAACGGCTAAATTACACTAATTTTATGAATACCAAAATTTTGTGTATCAGGTATGTGAGTGTATTTGTCAAAAGGTGGCGTTGTCAATTGCCTTGAATATCCAATGTTCTTGTATCACGTTGCCTTGGGGTGCACGATTGAAGCATGGGAAGTTTAATAAATTTACCAATTTACCAATCATCATAGTTATTATAATTATTTCATATAATGTTAATTTTATTTCGCAGTTGTCAAGAAAAATAAAAATATAGCGTCTATGATTAAGTATATTATCATTTGGCAACATTATGACGGATGTCAGCTGTCAATGTTCAATAATTGTCAGACTGGTTTGTCTATGTCCTTTCCTGTTAAAATATTCTTTTGAGAGGTTGGTTTGTTACTTACGAAATCTGTTTTAATCAGATAAAATACTGCAGTAATAAATAAAAATGTTCGTGATATATATAAATACAATGTGTTCTACATTCTCAAGGGCTTATTTTGGAGTTTTTGTGATGATTTCGTTAAATATAAATGATAACCTCCAGTTTGTGTGTGCGATTGTGACATAAAGCCGCTCTGTGTTTCAGTAACAAAAATGGGTCGTTATTCTCGGGAGCCGGATAATCCAGCGAAGTCATGCAAGGCGCGCGGCTCAAACCTCCGTGTTCACTTCAAGGTATATTTTTTTCTGCAATTGAAATTTCCACATGGAGTGTTTACGTACGTGTAACCTAATCACAAACTTGATTTTCAGAACACCTATGAGACTGCTATGGCTATTAAGAAATTGCCTCTGCGTCGCGCTGTACGTTACCTTAAGAACGTAGTTGATCAAAAAGAGTGCATACCATTCCGTCGTTTCAATGGAGGTGTAGGCCGATGTGCCCAAGCAAAGCAGTTCGGAACCACACAAGGTCGCTGGCCCAAGAAATCAGCCGAATTTCTTTTACAATTGTTAAGGAATGCTGAATCTAATGCTGACTACAAAGGTCTGGATGTTGACAGGCTTGTCATTGACCACATTCAGGTTAGTTTGAATATTTTCTCAATTATATTTAACTTTCAAATAAAAGACAAGTAGGTAAGGTTCTGGCTCACTTAAAAATATGTATATTATAATCAAACTTTCTACAACAATATAATATATATATGTTGTGTTATCCATATACTACGAACATCATCTTTAGTGGTTACTCATCTTGTGGGCGTTATCAGGGCTCAAATAATAAAGTATTCAATGCTCAATACACAATTTAATCAGGGAAGTCACAATGTTATAAACTTGAAACGGTAATTCTAATGATTTAGAGCTAGCGGGTTCACAGTCACCGATCATCGACTTCCAACTACAATATCAAACATAACTGATTCACCATGATATGATAACCAACGTTACTAAGCCACATATCTCCAAAGAATGTCGTGATGGCGTCTCGACCCCGCTCGAGACTAAATCTCTGCTCTAAATTCAAAATCCACTCTCTCACTTCCCATTCGCAGAACCGTACTTGGAGCTAACTCACCCATTCCGAGACTTAGTCGATTAGCTAATTACTATGCAAGAGAATTCGACATATTTTCCGATCCCCCTAGTAAAATTAAAAAAATATTACTGTTTATGAAGTAGACCCAGTTGTGAGGCAAAAATCTTGTATTGTTTGTATTATTATTATTTTTTTATTTTATTGTTTTTATTTTGTTTCTTTTTTTTATTACTTACGTGTCATTTTTGTTTTTATTATTTTATTTAAAATTTACCTTTTTTGTCAAACGCCACTTTTCCTGTTATTATGCATGCGGTGTTTATCATTATAAGTTGCAAACTGTAAAATATCATTGTGTATGTATGTAATCGTGTATTGTGTACAACTTGATAAACCAAACAAATAAATAAATAAATAAATAAATAAAATCAATAAGCAATAAAAAGTAAATTAAAGAACATAGTGACTTTAAACAATAATAAGGTTTCATAACAGAAAAAGGTAACTAAATCCTCCTCCGTCTTATATATATATATATATATATATATATATATATATATATTCTTTTATTATTATGATATTAACATTTAACAAAAAGTAATATGACAAAGTTACTATAATATGTACTATAAATGATTACTGTATATGAATGATAGCAGTTATTCTATGAAAATATTTTTTTATTATTTTTAGACAAAATTTTTTGTTTTAATTTTTTTATGATTCGGCATTAAAAATATGTATGTACATACAAACCTAAATATTCACTAGGGACGAATCCGAGCGGAGCGAGGTTGAGTTGCTATTATAAATATACAAGAATTGTTCATTTAATATTTTAGCTAGCTACGTTTTAAATTAAAATGGATATAGTATGTTATCCTTAAGAAATAGACATATGCCATCGTGGACTTTTCTGTAGACCTATATAAGATTCACAATTCCACCATACATCATTTTTTATACCTCAAAGGGTTTTGGCAGCTTTTTTGTTGAAAGGTCCCAGATGCCTTATTTTTTTCGACACTTCGAACAAATATCGTTATATTTTAGCCAATGTATACAAAAACTTAACAAATTATATACTAAAACCTTCCCCGAGAACCCACCTATCCATTGGTGAAAATCAAACTCCGTTGCATAGTTTTAAAGATCTAAGCATACATAGAGACAGACAGACAGCGGGAAGCGACTTTGTTTTATACTATTTAGTGAAGATGTGAGTAATAATTATGAAGAAAATTACTTTTATCATTATTAATTCATATTGTAATGATTACCATAGATAATTTAATTTCATACATTCAACTCACAGCAATCATGACCAAGACCATGTGCAAAACAACCAACTTTTCACTGTGTATGGGATGTTAAAAAGGGAATACCCTTATTATTTTTACATAGTGTGTATACTTTAAATTTTAAAGTATGTAGTTTTTGTATAATAGACACATTTTTGTGTTCATAATATTAGGAAATTTTACTCTTGCCTTTCTTGCTTGACAGAATATAAATTATTATATTGACTGTTTTCTGAAGGCATAAAATAATAGTAACACACTGTTATGAAGAACTATTCACATGGGATTGTTCTTATGTTTTGTTACTTACAGTTTTAAATTCTGGTATAACATCACACACATGTAATAATACTTTCTTTATCTAATTGTCTCTTTCAATTGTAAGTATGTATTGTACTAGAGACTCACCCTCGCTTCGCTCAGGTTTGTCCCTAGGTTGCTTCTCCATACAAAATTTCATTCCCATTTTCACACCCTTAAGGGATGATTTCTGGAATAAAAAGTATCCTATGACCTTCTCAGAGTCTCCAACTATCTTACCAAATTTCATCTAAATCGGTTCAGTAGTTTCAGAACTTATTTGGTACAAACAAACAAAAAAATCTTTATTTTTTATAATGTTAGTATAGATTAAAATTGGTGCATTTATTTCCTGAGTTTATCGAGTATAATTTGCGACAATAAAGAATGGGTCAATCAATATTGTCACCTCCATTAACTTTTTGTTTATTTAAATTATATTAAACTATCGCTTTCTTTGCTCACACCTGCTTTTGTAACTGTATTGATATATTCTAAAGTTTTCATGGCTAAAGTTCTGAATGACCAGAAATGTACAAAATAATTATTCAACCATTTGCAGATAGTAGAGACTCAATAGGAAGATATAATGGTTTAACTATAGATAGAACAAGGCATGTGGTAACAAGTAAATGCTCACTTGAAAAAAACTAGCGAATCTGGTTCAAATCTTGAATCTTGCACCTCTGATACTTACTATTGATCTCACACTATTGATCATTCAGTGACTTATTTTTCAACAATTTTATCACTTGCCTCTCTTTCTTTAGGAAATTATCGAGAGGAAACTGCATGTCTGAAAACCTAACTAGTTTTCAAAAGACGGCCAGGCCTAATCTCTCACATTGATGGGAGGCCCATTCCCAATAGTGCCAAAAGGACTAAATTATTAAATATTTTAGATCACAGTTTATCATTGTACTAAACATTCAAATCCATCCAGTCCTTACAGCATGAAAGAGTAACAAGGATACACACACAAACGTTTGTATATCTAATAGTAGTAGCAGCTGTAGATTATTATAATATATGTAAATAGAATAATAAGATTTATTATATGCAGTGGTAGCCCGTTGGTAATGCGCTCGTTTGGGCAACCAAGTGAAGCGAGTTCAAATCCCGGGTCTCGTATTTCTGATATTTTCATGTGTGAATCATTTTCCAACAATATTACTTGTCTTACGTTGAAAGAAAACATCGCGAGGAAATATATGTCTAAGAGAATAGCAAGTTCTCGAAAGACATGTGCAGTCCGTCAACCTGCACTTGGCCAGTGTTGTGGACTATAGGCTTATCACCCTCGTACTGAAGGGAGGCCCATGTCCAGCACTGGCCCTTAAAAAAAAGGGCTTAATACCAAACAGATTTATTAATTAAATATTAATTATTTCAGGTAAATCGCGCCCCATGTCTCCGCAGACGTACATACCGTGCGCACGGTCGTATCAACCCCTACATGTCATCCCCCTGCCACATCGAGGTGTGCCTCAGTGAGCGTGAAGACGCAGTAGCAAGGGCAGCACCAGCAGATGATGCACCAGCGAAGAAGAAGCTGTCAAAGAAAAAGCTGGCCCGCCAAAAGGAGAAGATGATGAGGGAATAGATTATAAATAAATCACTTTAAAATATGTGTTTTTTTTTATTTTGGGTGTTGCCAGTGACGCTTAATAGAATTATAGTACAGTACTACTATAAAGTAGGTATATAACAGTATTATTTTTGTTTTTTAATCTATGAGAAATGGATAAATTTTGAAAATATGATAGTTTCATAGATGTAGAGAGTGGACTGTACTTCTTTGTCAGTCAGTTAAAAATGGCGGAAAAGCGACAGGCAAAAACGAATGTGCGGCCACAAGTCTTCTGTATTAATTAAAATACGATTAATGAAGATAGATATTTATGATTATTTTATATTCTATTATCATAGTATTATAATTCTTAATAAATTAAAATATTTTTTTACATTTTTTACATTTGCTTTCTCTCTTTTTAGAGTGTGGTTAATTACATGACAGTATTGCTCAGTCCATTATCTACATCTGGATAGTATAAACTATTTACTATGTGTATGGTAAATAGTGAATAGGGTATATTCAGGAGTTATTCATTTGGAAAAGAATAAAAAAGATAAGAAAGAAATTTTAAGCTTTTAGATATCAGAAATTATAATTTGGAATAGAATAACAATTATTGTTTCAATTGATAGTTTAGGGAGATTAATTCTGTGAGGGCTGGATAGACTTTATTGAGTGAGTTCTACAACGCAAATTCGAATAGTAATGCTGTGTGTCGCTGATGTCAAGTTAGAACATGAAATTTAAAACCACATAGTGTTAATATTTCATTATTGTGGATTTGTATGGTATAGAAACTGCCATCTAGTGGCAAGAGGAGGTATTACTTCGAATAAGATGGGTCAATGGGGAAGGATCAATTTAGGGTGATTTTACAAAATTCCTTTAAGTCTGTTCAAAGCTAATTAGTGATTACAATTAACAACACTGTTAAATAAGTTATTACAAAAATTGTAGAGCATGACATGACCATCAATCGTTTTTGAGATAAATTGTGTAACGCAAGTAATTATCTCAAAAAATAATAATAATTAATGAATAAGTATTAATTAGTATTATAGACAATAGTACCTACTGACAATATTTTTCAGTAAGGTACTATAAATTTAGTAGTATATTACTAAATTAAACTACACTAAAATATATTTTATTCTAGCTTCATGGTTAAAAGAAAATCCAATATACAGACATACATAAGTCACAATTAAAAAAAAATAATAATGCCAAAGTGACAAATGAATGAAGAATACAATTAACTAGTTGATTTAGACTTCAAAATTATTTTATGTAGATATTATGAAACAATACAAACCAACATGTCCTTAGAAAAGGATTTGACAGTACCCACTAAATTGAAAAATACTCTACAAGAAAATTTAAGGCTTCGTGAAGAACTGATGGATGCTACCAACAAACAGCATCAAGAAATGTCTCGAGCAATCGAGTTGAATGCAAAGAATTGTAAATTAAAGAAACAAATATATAGAGCTAAGAAAGAAGTTTTCATATTACAAGGTAAAAATTCATTTCATCCAAACCAAATTCGTATGGCGCAGGACCGACAGCTTAACGTGCTCTCCGTTAATTTTCTAACTCAGGGCTGCTACTGTATATTATACATACATATATATCTAGTAGGTATCTATTTTGGCCCGATCCGGGACTCAAACTCAGGAGCCCCTCACGATCTGCACCCTTACCTGCCAGCCACTAGACCAACGAAGCAGTACTTGAGACAACAGTATGGGTATTACTGTGAAGTATAATTTCCCAGGAGGAAATCAGAGAGCGTAATAATGTTTCATAACGTGTTGTGTAAGTTGCTATAAGGAAAACGGAACGAAACTATCCTGATTGTTAGTCCACGTGTAAACCTGATCGGCGTGTTACATATTAAGGTTCTTGAACAATATTTGTATTAGCCATACAGATGTTCCACTTTAGTAAATAAGTAATTGGAAAGGGAATAATGCCTAGATTTCAAAGTACCAATTAATTTCAATTCAATTCAATTCTTTTATTTCGTGGCTTATTAATTACAATTCCAATTTCCAAAGTTCTAGAACGTAACCTTATGAGTCAGTATATTTTCAGTGTTATTTTGTTATTTTCATCTGTTGTCATTTAGTTTTATTTAAAGCTGTTAATTGAATACTTACCAATAACAACACTTTCAGGTAAAAATGTACGGAACATACAATAGATTAAAAAAGTTACAAGTTGAAAATGAAATAATTCAATATCAAATAATTATATCTAAAAAGAAAAGGCACGAAGCCAGTATAAATGCAAAGAAGCTAGCGGAATCAAACTATTATTTAGAAAAACATCTGAGGAAAGTACGCAATGAGTTACGTGCTTTAAAACAGCAAAACGGTCATGTTGTTACATAGCTCTATATATTAAAATATTTTAAATGTTTTGTTATATATGAATCCTTATTATCCTTGCAAATCTATGCCCTTATTTGAACAGGAAATACAATTGTAGAGTCTTTAGCACTTGAACTAATATACTTTGATTTAACATTAGCAGTACCCGCGGCTCCGCCCGTGTTCATACTTCCGATCACTACCAAACTTCTTAGGATCACGTGTTGCGCTAATCTGAAGATTGCCTAAAAATTTCATCAAAATCGCTACAGTCGGTTTTGGAGTCCATAGGGAATGTCTTATATACATACATATCGATTTTTATATAATATATAATTATGTGGATTGGGAAATGCATTTCAGTTTAAAGAACCTTATTTTCTTATTATGAACAAGTCTTTTACATGAGAAACTTATAGGTCGCTCAGGTTTGTCCCTAGGTATGTTTTGACGATTAGTATGGAATAGAATTTATTTCAATATTTTTTTTCGTAATTTTTGGGATGAAGACATTCAACAAAACAAAGATCATAAAAATCGGTCCACCAGTTCTCGAGTTATAAGTTTTGTAACAAACCCGACTTTGTTTTATATGTATACTAGCAGAACCCGCGGCTTCGCTCGCGCTAAAACTATAAAAAAATCTAAATGGGTAGTTTCATACAAACTTTCACTCCCTGTTTTACCCCCTTATAGGATGAATTTCGAAAAATGCTTAAACACGTATTTATTTAATTTTATTGAAGAGCACTACTACCAAGTTTCAAGTAATTCTAATCAAAATATTATTTTTGTATATTTTTTGGATTGTATTATAACGTGTATTCCCGTGGGACTTAGATAATCTCCCGCGGTAAAAAGTAGCCTATGTCACTCTCCAGCCCTCCAAGTATTTCCACACAAAAAATCACGCCCATCGGTCACTCCGTTTTGACGTGAAAAATAAACTGCCTCGGTGGTGTAGTGGCTAGCATGTACGGCTGCATACTCGGAGGTCCTGGGTTCGAATCCCGGGTCGGGCCAAGTTTAGTTATTGAGTCTTTCTGTATAGTAAGTCTCAGTAACAGCCCGGAGTTGGGAAGTTGGCGGTGTTTCACCCCCGTGCCTCGGAGAGCACGTAAAGCCGTCGGTCCTGCGCCTTAACTCTCACCGGTCGTGTCGAGTGGTCGTCCCACCGGAGTATGAGAGTGACAGGAATAGAGAGTGCACTTGTGTCTGCGCGTACACTTGAGCACTATAATATCTCCTACGCAGTTGGATAATCTCAATGAGATTGGCCGCCGTAGCCGGAATCGGCTAAGAGAACATCATCATTTGACGTGAAAGAAGGACAAACAAACACACTTTCACATTTGTAATATTAAGTATAGATATAGATTATGACAATATCTTTACATTGTATAAAATGAAGTAGCTTCTGCTATCTATTCGCTTAATTCTTTTAAACTACTCGACGGATTTTAATGTAGTTTTCGGCAATAGAGTGATTCAAGAGGAAGGTTTATTTTTATTTTATTTTACATCCAATTAGAACGGCGGCGCCACTTACACTAACTAGATTATATGTATAATACATGCATATTACAGAGATGCCGAGAAATTCAAAGATTTGTATATCATACTAACCGTTAAAACGTACCTAGGGACGAACCCGAGCGAAGCGAAGGTGAGTTATTAGTATATATTGACCCTAGATTTTTTATTTCTTTCGGTAAATTATCATAGAGTCGCATACCGTCTGCATTTTTTGTTTTTTTTTTTAAATGTAAATATGTATACATAATATGATGTATATTATTATTATTTTTAATTTCTTCTATTCATGAAAGAATTATGACAGCGGATTCATTATTAATGAAAATATGTCGTAATATACTCAAAAAAAATACAGTCGAGTTATTGAGAACCTCCATTTTGGAGTCTGTCAATAAGGTACTTTCTAAACCCTTAACGCCATTATACCTAAATCAATTAGGATAAAATTTAATATGCACAAAACCTGCAGCATGGATATTAACATAGGGAGTTATGGTTACGTAGAATACCTGAAAAACCGATATATCTATCTGCCATGAGACGTAACCTAAATGAATAGTTAAAATTCATTTATTACTACGAGTGCTATATTTTCATAATAAACCTAATAATAATAATAATAATATATAATTCGCGAAAAATTCTAAAACAATAGTTTTATTTAAAACTACCGACTTTCCCTCGCTTCGCTCGGGTGCGTCCCTAGGCCTTACGAGAGCCTTACGAGATCACATATTGCTATTGCGGACTTTTCTGTAGAATTTTTTAAGATCTACAATTTTCTAGAACATTGTTTTCCTGTATTTTTTTATATTATAGTTAATATAGCTTATGCTACGAGTACGTACGACCCTTGCGGCTTTGACAGAAAGCGTTCCGTTTACTTTTGATTCAGCGAAATCAATGAATACTTAATATAATCACACTGAATATGTAATAATATAATCATACTTTTATTCATGAAATCGTTTTATAATATTTTACGCTGAGCCTTGCCAGTAAGCAATCAGCGATATTTGTTATGGGAATGACTCGCACCTTCCCCAATCCTTCCAAATTGGCTTACAAAGATTTCTTATAATATATACTCGTATGGTAACAGTATTAACACGAACTTATAATAAGCACAAATAATTCCAAGTGTTAGTGTGAGCGAATATGCAACATTCTTCATAAGCTCAATTATGCATATGAATAATATTAATTATCATAATAGTTATCAATTTTCTCGATATACTTATCATAAAATCGTTGATTTAAAGAAACTACGCCGTTAAAACCAATCTCAAAATAATCCAATTGTACCTAGGTACTTACTTAAGACGACTTCCTACAAAGGTGATATTAGAGACATAAAATACAATAATAAATGAATTGGAAGCGGGAAAATTTCACACTACAAAGTACAAACAGACAGTGTTACACCAGTCGCCATATCAGTAGCACGCATGTTCACGCGCGTAGCTTTATTTTGCGCGTGCGCGCTAGTCGCGAGCATTTTTGCTATTCCTGCACCGCCGAGGCGAGATAATAAAGGTATTTTTTTAATTAATCATATTCATCCGAAAATTTATTGTGTTAGTAAAATAGTTAATAAATATAATTTTATATTTTGGTTGATGATGAAACGAAGATTTTAGAAGTTTAATTTATTTTTGGTTAAGTTATTCGATTTTTAAATATATATATAAAAGGTATAGACATAAGGCTGTATGGATTTTGTCTATGCGTTAATATTGCAATTTTTTTTGAGTAGATAATATGGCGGCAAAAAAGTTTTTGTAGAATAATGTCCTGTCGTTTATAAATAAATAGGCAAGTGTTTTAAATATTGAATTATTTACTAATGTCTCTACCTTATGCGGTTTCTAAATTTGTTTTATCAATGAATAATAACAATGAAGCATGTATGCAGGTAAAATTTTAAATTTATTATATTTTTTTATTAAAATTTCAACAAATCAAACATTTTTAGCCAGTAAGCCCTTAAGATTTGGTAAGTAATTATTTCAAAGTAAATTTTTTGAAGTGCCGAAGTACGTAGTACATAGTCTCTATTTAGCTCCTCGCTTATAATATCTAATCTATTTTCATGAAATTTATTACATCTGCCAAATTATATTTGATCTTTGAAAATATATAAAGTGTGTAATTGCGCTTACGTCAAATGATTAGTTTGATTGAAATGCCTCAATTATGTAATTTTAGTAATCATCAAAGAGTTCAATTTCCGAGTTTCCGTGCAACTTAACTGGGCACTAAGTTTTTTTCAGTAGGTAATGCTATGAGTATGTATGTATAAAATTAATGACCCAATTTTGTAGATAGCATCAAAAAAATTACACTAGTAATATTTTGAAGTAGTACGAACGATGATTTTCAATTTATTTTAATTAATTTTATACAAAGAAAATATTTAATTATACACATTACTAGATACAGTACAAACTCCTATCTATTATCTCTTCTAGATCTTTTTATAGGACAATAATAAATTTATGGGAAAATTATTATCTAGCAAAACAAAAATAAAAGTACCTAACTATGTTATTTTAACAGTGCCATATAGTTGCACAAATGTGGTTCAAGTCCCCGCATTACGTATATAGATCATTGACACCGAAACCGCGCGGCGTCTTTGATACAGATGACCCACATCCCCGTTGGCTCCCACTGACACTCACACCCTATTTTATATCTACTTACATTAAATATACTTCAAGTAGTCGTTTCCCGCGACTTCGCCCGCTTTTGTGACAGTTATTTTTTTTTCTTTAATGGCTGACAGTTGTATTTCCGTATATATATATATTAGTATGACGTGAGATTTCCAATCATTTCAATTATGTTAATTTGAATAATCTAACTATTATTATAAATTAGAAAATTTATGAGCGTGTTAGTGTGTATATTGTTACTTGTTGAAGCTAAAATGTCTGTACCGATTTTGAATTTTTAATATATATACCATGTCTAGAATTAATTAGGGTAGAGGTAAGGAGAACCGTCTTATATGGGGCGGAAGTAAAAGACGTGTCCAGGTGTATGTTGAAAATAGATGTATGAATTTAGCTGTTGTACAAGTGATGTGTGCTGAGTTCAAAAATTTAATTTTTTCATGACAAAGTAGTAAATGAAATACCAGTATACAAAACCTCAACTATTTACGTAATCTAAAATAATGAAGTAAATATAACTATCGTTGTTTATTTCTTTATCTTACTCTAAGTAATTACTTTTGGCGCTTCCTTTAAAATTTATCCTACGCTACCGCAGCGCTACCCTTATTGGGTGCGTTTTGACGGACACTTTTTCATACAAAATGACTCGTCCTACTCTCCAGAGCTATAAAATAGAAAATTAGCATAAAATATTAAGCTAAAAAGCTAGAATTATAATCATAGACGACCGCTACATTCGTAATAAACGTCTATTATACTAGAGAGAGCGCGTTCAATTTCTTTGGGGCTAACATTGAATGTGCTATTGGCTAACTTTGATAGCTAAAATAGTTATATCAGGACGCTTAATAGGACGCTTAAGTAAAATTTAGTAGAAGGTTTAACAAATAATAATGGACATCTTAATATTAATTTTATTATTAAGTAAAAGTTCATTTTAACTGTTTCAATAATTCCAGCTTTTACCACGAAAGCTTAGATAAGTATATTTTGCGTATAGCTTATACATCAAGAATCGAAGTTTGTCTTAGGGTTCTATTATTACCCTAAAAATGTAATGATACAATAGTTACCTACATGACTTTTGGGATTTTGGCCCTTATAGTTTTAGAATTAAAAAAAAAAAACCACATCCTCTTAAACATTTCGAAGTACATATGCCTATAAAAACTTAAAAAAATAAAATATACCGACTTCCAGGCACTAAAATGTAAAAAATAACTAAACGGGGGGTTTCATTTTGAATAGATACCTAATCAGATATTTTCGAAGTCTGTGCCGGTGGTACGGTTCAGGCGTCTTCGAGTAATCGGTGAACATACATAAAAAAAAGATTCCGACGAATTGAGAACCTCCTCGTTTTTGGAAGTCGGTTAAAAATATACTGCATATTTAGTGTACGTACCTAGTACCTAGTACTTTTACTTTGGCTACCAAACACACGTAGTGACCTAATTTCATCTCTACCCACTTTAGTGCTAAATTAAATGGAGGATGAAGATATAATTCATTGAGTAGGATTCTCTCATTTCATTTAACTTCGTCATAAATGTTTACACATGTCCGGTTGTTGGATTTAAATTGCTAAGGATATTATCCTTGACCAAGGCCGTAAAATGAGGGAACAGTGGTGCATTAAAGTTTGATTCAAGTTTACGATTTGTATGATATAGGACTTTAAAGTTACTTAAGTGGTCTGTATAAGTAATAGTGGTAATAAATATACAAAAGAATAATTTTTGACCGACTTCAAAAAGGGGTAAGAGTAATAAGTTTAGTAGGTCTATTCTGTAAGAACTTTTACGTAATAAGGAGAGAGGTATTTATATCTGAATTAAACATATATTTTATAACTTAGTATAATTATTTACTATTATGCTTTATTTCAAATTTTCTTTTCATACACATATGTAAGTATTAGCAATTAGCATTGCCCGCGGCTCCGCCCGCGTTCAAATAACAAAAAACCAAATTCTTAGGTTTTACATATTAGTATACTCTTACATTGCAGTTTTTGTATTTTTTCTCAGAAATGAGATATTTTCCCGCGGTAAAAAATATCCTATATGTTGACCCGGATAACCAGCTATCACCATACCAAATTTCATCAAAATCCCTCCAGTGGTTTTTCTGTGATGCGGTAACAGACAGACAGACAAAAATTCTAAAAACCATATTCGGCCTTTGTATCGATAATAATGTTTATTTCAATAATATTTTCGAAAAAATATCTAATGTAAAGATTCGGCTTAGTTACAATTTTATTATACGTATAGATATCTGATGGTACATTAGTATATTTATATTTTAGTCTGACTTGACCGTCCTCAAGATCATTACGAGTGATCATAGGTCAGTGAACATTACTGGCTCGAGTAATATAAATTGGTTTATAACTGCCTGTCATTCGAATATATGGTTTTTTTTACAATGATATCAATTCATATTTATTAGCATCGACGTTTTTAACTTTTTTCCTGGGATGATTTACCTATAGTAAAGCAAGCGATTTGCATGCGTGCGCGTAAAATACAGCCTGCATTGCTTATATTCTTTTATTGTCATAGGCCGATAGATGGAAAGCCTGCTCGATTAATTAATCGGAGATCGAGGGTATCTAAAATAGGTTTTGGCCTTCTCAGACTCGAACCCAAGTCTTTACGTACGTTACCGTACGTTTTAGAATCGTAATAGGAGCAGCCACTTAACTGTAGAAGAAATAAAAGCAGAATTTCCGTCTTTATTGGGAAAGTGGTTGCCAAATCGTAACGTCGTCTTTTATTCTGCTTTTTTTCTTGCTATTCAGCCCTTTTAACGATCGATTTTTAACGAACGGCCTCCTTTTAATACGAGGGGGATCAGGCCATACTCCACCACGCTGGTTAAGTGCGGGTTGGCAGACTTCACATGTCTTTCGAAAATTTGTTAGGTTCTCTCAAAAATGCAGACATTTTAAATAAAACTATCTTTTCAGATTTAAGCGGATTTATTTTGATTTTTGGTTCTCGACGTTTCGAATGCTTTACACCAATCATGGTCACGGGAGAGACTAAGGTTGTAGACATCTCGAAAGTTATTATACAATTGTTAGATAGCATAATATTATAGATTTTAACTCGTTTGCTCGGAACAATTAGTTGATGAAGTTTATGACAGGGTTGTTTGAGCGAAGTCAGGATTTGCAACTATTAAATAATGTTAATCCCTCAACGACCGCGGACACGCCGGCGTTACAGTTAACAGGTAGGTTTCTTAGAAATTTAATTAATTTCTTAGAAATTTACCTGTAAGTGATAATAAATAACAAATAAACTTATGTAAACATTTAAATATTTATATTATGAAATTTCTAAGCAGGTTAGTAGGTATAATAATAGGTCAGAATCTTAACGCGCTCACCTACAAGTGATAAATTGTAACACTTCCCTACAGTTACGCGTGTCATTATTTGAAGCGAGGAGTGACCGGTCAAGTACTTAGAGGGTTTTATATACATTTTTTAAATTATATTAAAATTTTACTTAAATAAGGTCACTACACACTATAGTGTTCTGTTATATGTATTTGATTATTTTGTCGAACTTTAATTCTTTATTTATATATTTTTTTCTAACCTGATCTTCTTTCCAATAATTATAAACATTTTTTTTATATTAATATATTGTGAAGCAGTCAGGGAAAATAAAAAATAGTTTTTTTTCCCAAATCACACGACGACACGTTTGGCTCAGTTTGTAGTGGCCCTACTTTCTGTGCCGGCGGTCGCGGGTTCGAGTCCCGCTGGGGGCATTCATTTTGTGTGATGACGAAGGTTTGTACTCCAGTCATGGGTGTTTATATTTATAATATGTATGTATTTAAAGTTATATATGTGTAGTGTATCAATTATCTGGTATCCATAACACAAGCGTCGTAGCTTACAATGGAATTAGATGGTGCATGGGACATTATGTTGAGACATTAACACACAGTTAATGTCCCAACATATATGTATTACAGATTTTAGAATTATAACTATTAACTTTTAAATCTATACACTGGCAATTATTTAATAACACTTAATCACTGCAGAATAATAAATTTCAATCCCGGGCAAGACCATCCACCCATCCACTTTCCCTAATTCGCCTCGCACTTCACACCGCTACATTAGCGTCTCCTCTCCAACACCCGCTCCGCACTTCACTTTACTTGTTACCATATGATCCACTAGTTTCACTAAACAAACCAACTTGGAACTTGTTGACTAGACTAACGCACTATTTGGTCAATATATAATTAAACGAGTACCTACGAGTTTTTTATGGTGATATACTATAAAGAAAAATAAGATTAAATAAATAACGAAATAATGTGTAGTTTTTCATCTTGTCTTAAGGATCTCTTACTAAACTAGCAGACAATGTAGCAGACGGTTCCGTCAAGACCCAATGAAAAACAATCATTCGATTACACCTATAAATCTATGACGTATCGGCCATTTTTACACTGGCCTTAAGTGAAAAATTTCGCACCTACCTACCGGGAAGTATTTGTTAGATGGGCCATTTGATATGGTGTGTATATTTATGAAGACATCTCGTTGATTTATTATTCTTCATCCGTATATTAAATCAAGATAGTCGAGGTTCTATTAAGACTCCTTTGATAAATAACACCGTTGAGTCAGTCTAGATTTTAGTACTTTTAGTGACCATTTAGTCCAAATTTAGTTTTAGTTTAGGTTTAAAACATTGCCTTTTAGAATCTTCATAGATTATCTGGACTGTAATAAGACATGAAAGAAACAGACGAACACTTACACCTGTTAAATATTTCTTTTTACACCTTCAGGATGGCCAGCCATTTTTTTATATCTTCATGATGGCCTGACTGGCCTTGTAATTTATATCACTGTAGATTATGAGGTCTAGCCAGCTTTGAGTTGGAACAAACATGATATTGGCAATTCTGTTCCAAAATTCTCAGTAGAACCTCGATTAGAATTTCTCAGTAGAAAGCTTGGAACCTGCGTTAGATCTTTCTGCTCCTTCTCTGTTCTATGGCTTTCGATTATAGGATTAGCACCTGTGTTTGCTCACAAAACTGTGCACAAATATCAATCACGATAAATTATGTCTGTATACACCATTATACTCTCTCTACACCCCAATTTTTAAATCAACAAATAAAATAGAAGAAAATAAGTAGTTATCACCTTCACCATATAAAAGCCATTTTCTAAGAACGTGCCATAATAACATTGACATTGATGACTCTTCCTAGGTATCAGGAAGGCGTTGGTTCGATATCGCCCATTCCCTTCCTCGTTGGTTGTTGAACTCGCTCCTTGTTATGTCTTATGCAATTGAACGTTTATGGCACGTTAGGTTAACAATGTAGGTACTATCAAGGGTTTTGTTACTAGGTTTTATATAGGATTTCAGATTTGAATGAAATGCTTTTATATTTGTATGTAAATATTTCTATATCTTAGGAATGCCGTATCTTAGAAACATGTTCTCGTTAATTTATCTCAGTTTGCCGTCTTCAGGTTTTGTATGATAAAAACTTAAAAAAAAACCGACTTCCAGGCACTAAAATATAAAAAATAACTAAACGGTGGTTTTCATTTAGAATAGATACCTAATCAGATATTTTCGAAGTCGGTGCCACACACATTTACATTGTGGACGTTACATCAATCTTTAAGGTTTAATAAATTAATTCATTTTTAGAAAAATCAACAATGGATTGTATTATTAGCTTGGAAAATGGTTTTTGGGAACTGAAGAAGTAGTTTTAATCGAAAATATACCAAAAATGGTTTTAAAGTTGTTTTACTACTGTACCATAATATTCATTTTTGTGTTTTCTTTTCTTCCAGACTCAGAAAAGATGGCGCAAGAAAGAACGATAGTCATTAGGAGAGTGCCTAACGCATATGTCTACCCCTTTAGTTTATGGCCTTTGCCAAAATATCCCATAAGAGGTAAACAATAATTATTAACCACCTATAAATACTTGCTGTTTTAAAGACTTTTTTGTTGTTTCATATAATTTTATTAATTTATTTAAAAGAAATATCAACATTAAAATTATTTTAAAAAAAAAATTTTTTTTCACTATTTTATTTTATTTTTACGGTTCCGTACCTAAAAAGGTAAAAAAGTAACCCTTATAAGATCACTCTCTTGTCAGTCTGTCCGTCCGACTGTCTGTCCGTACGTCACCACGGATTTTCTCAGGAACGGGTGGACCTAGCAAGTTGAAATTTATACCAGATACTGAGGTCTATAGTGCCTATTAGGTGTATAAAATCGAGGTACTGAGTCAATATGATAAAAAGATATGTATGTGCTAATTTAGATTTTCTTATTATTTTGAATGTTTAAAGTTTAGAAATAAGTACCTACCAAAATTTACCTTAATTTTCAACTTTTTTATGTTTCAGAATTTTCCCTTTACTTGTGCTGTAAGACCTTGTTTTAAACCAAAATTGATAATTCTAGGTCAACCGGAAGTACCCTATAGGTTTTGGTTCGAAAAACTATATGGTAGTTCCCGTTGACCTAGAATCACGAAATTTGGCAAAAAGCAAGGTCTTACAGCACAAATAGAGGAAAAATTCCGAAAAATAAAAAATTGAAAATTAAAGTTTAACAGATTTCCTACTTTGTACGGAACCCTCGGTGGGTGAGTCCGACTCGCACTTGTCCGTATTTTATATGTTATTGTTTGCACAGTGGTCGAAATTCAAACAAATCATTTCGAACAAAATTTAAGGTAAACATATATGAATAGAATTTAACTATCTATATAAAAAAAACCACTAAAAAAAAGAAGAAGAAAATCGGAGAATGGCGCTGAATTGTCTTATCATTGCTTTTTATATATATCTAGATTTTCTCTTATTTTACATCAATCTTATATGCTATTTTAAGTTCAGTTGAGTATCAACAAAACCAAGTAGATCTTATAGATTCCCCCCAACGTGCGTTCACCTTGTCGTGCTGGGGGGGCTCAGTAGTGCCCGGCAATACAACCGGGCGCAAAGCCAAGAAATGCACAGGGAGGTGGCCCACTTCGGTGGGCGGTGCGAGGAGGCCCTCTTCGGAGGGCAGTATTGCTCCTGGTACTTCTCTGATAGCAGAGTGGACTTTGGAGCAACCCCATGGTCGTTGTGGTCTGCCTCGGCAGACCTGCCGTCGGTGCGTCGTAGTTGAATGCGTAAGCGATCCTGCGACGCCCCATTAAGACGGGGGAAGGTTTTGTTGGGTTTTAGTGGGTAGTACTGGCTTTGCCGGTGAGTCCCACACCTCATGCGTAAATGCATTTCCCAACGTTAAAAAAAACATCTTATAGATAAAATGTCTTTTGAACTTATACAAATTTATCTTTTGCAGAAGACCAGACAGTCGAATACATTTACAACGGAAAAGCATTAAAGAAACTTAAAATCGACCGAGATAAGAGATGACTACTTCATGTATGTTTGTTTAAGATAAAATCTTAGTAGTATACGTTATTATTTACTAGCTTTGATATATATATTTTTATATTATTAAGTAATCACTAGACTTGAGCCCCACTATGTACAGAAGTTCGTTGAACAAAAAGCTCGAGCCTTACTATTGATCAAAAAAGACAATGTCCTCACCGGATGAGCGCTCATTTGAACATTTGAGCGCGCTTTTAATTTTTTTTTTGTGAAAACAACTTTAAGCATTGCTTTTAGGTTTTGTTGTATATTTATTTCAACTAGAATAATTACTTAAACGCAATTGGTGACAGTTTTAAGGGAACTTTGGCATGGGATTATGTATCTTGTACTTTTCGCTAGAAGAGCCTTATTTATCTACGAGAGAAAGTTCTATTTAATGAAGTACAAAGAAGTTTCAATGAAATCCGTCCATTCCTGAGTTTTGTGCGATTCAAGAGACAGACATAATAACCAATACATAACATCATATATCAGGAGTTCCTAACAAAAGGGGGGCGTAGAGAGTATATTTTGTGTAACTTAAAATTAAAATAAATAATAATCGTTAAAGTAATGTATGTGGGTTTTATTATTTAAAAAAACATAAAGAGGGGTATGAAAATATAAATTATAAAAATAATGTGTTTTATTATAACAAAGAAACTAAAGGAGGGCATGAAAATATTTTTTATAATCCAGGGAGGCTCAACAAAGGAAAGGTTGGGAAACCCTGTGATATATCGTTATTAAAACTTATGATTTTGATTTTATTTGATAATATAGGTGAATATATTTTTTCATCATAACATTGGCGATGCTTACATTTCTTTAGCTTTGTAACTAGTAATAGTAACACTTAGACTAAGGAATAATGTAGACATACACCCATATTCTATAGTGTCATAGAACTGAACATGAAGCCAAACAATAATTATTTAAAATGATACATAATAATACTTTCTTAGATTTACACGAATATTTGACATTTTAAATAAAACTATCTTTTCGGATTTTTTTGCGGATTTATTTTGATTTTTGGTTTCCGACGTTTCGAATGCTTTGCAAGATAGTTTTATTTAAAATGATATACTTACCTATAATATTTTTAAACAGAATACAAATATTAATAAAATATCCATTGTATAAATCATATCATGTAATAAATGTTAATAAATAAAAATAGCTTAGCCGATTTTATTTAAAAAATAAATAAATAAGCTAATATTATGCTATCTCTCTTTCAAGGGGAAGATAATTAGTTTTAATATTAGAATTGGATTTAAGATTGTGAGAATGATTGTACATGTACAAGTTGCAGATAGTGTACAAAAATAAAGTTTATAAATAAATATAATATTTTTATTTATATTTGTTTTTATTTTTTAAATTTACAGCTTATTTTGTATATTATAGCACTTTTGTGTTCTAAATACTTTGTTTTCCTTTATTAAAAATAATCATTAAAATCGGCTCAATATTGAAAACCTCCACTTTTTTAAAAATCGTTTAAAATTAGTCCTTTTAGTGTAAAGCGCCATCTAGTGAGTAATAGTTACAACATAACAATTTTAGTTCTCTTTAATTCCATATTGATGAGCGTTAGTAAAATATTCAATATTAGTGCTTATTTGTGCAAATGACCAATACTTGTTATATTTTACAGTAGTTTTTTTCCTTATATAGATAAAATACATTTTAACAAACCAATAATGAGACGACGAATTTTGTATAAAACAACTAAAAATGCTATTACAGTATGATAATTTTGCTTTTAAACGCCATCTAGTGAGTAATAGTTAGAACTAAACAACTTTAGTTCCAAATAACACCGCGTTGCTACAAGCGCTAGTGTCGTATCTACGGGCGTAGCGAATATTGATTACGCGTGCGTATACTTTCATCTTAACACAGCATCTCAGTACATAAACAGTTGAGAATAAATGTGCCAAAATGAAGTTAAGCTTTTTGTGGATATTATTTAATTATACTGCTAGTTGTTTGGGTAAGTGTTCTATGGATTGATTTTTAAGTAGAAATTATGTTAGTCGATCTAATGCAGTAAAATCTAAAATCACAAAAAAGCTATAGTAAAATGATTAAATATTAATTTTATAGTTATGTCATTTGTTTTGTTAAATTAATAAGTAAAATAGTTTGCATCTACAATATAAGTATTCCTATTTAAAATTAATTAAATTTAATATTCTACATATATTTCTAACTCGACATAATATATCACTCATATATGTATCTTGCACCAAAAAAGTGTTTATTATAATATAAAAAAATAACATAATAATTATAATAACAACAGTATAATAATACTATTCTAAAACACATATTATTTCCTTAAGTTTTTAGAGTCGTTTCTTCAATTCTAGGTGTAAAGCTTCTAGAAGCAAATCCAGATGTAAAGAGATTGTACGATGATTTATTAAGCAACTACAATCGCTTGATACGCCCAGTAACTAATGTTAGCGATATTCTGACAGTTAGACTTGGCTTAAAGCTCTCACAGTTAATGGAAGTTAACTTGAAGAATCAAGTTATGACTACCAATTTGTGGGTGGAACAGGTAAGAAATTAAAGTTTTAGTTAAAAACACATATTATGTCTTTTTCAGTTTTATTACAGTTTTATTTTGGTTTCTCACTCCCAACGATTCGAATGTTTTACAGCAAATAATATAGTTGCTGTAGACTAAGTTGCTATAAATATATATATATATATATATATGTTTACAACTAGCGACTCACCCTCGTTTCGCTCGTGTTCTTCTCTAGGTACGTTTTAACGGTTAGTAACGAATAGATAGACTATATATTACATGATATATAGCATACAGCCTTAAAATTCCAATAAACGGGCTAGCTAATGAAAAGAAGAAAAAAAAGAAAACAGAGAATTTTCAAATCTGATTAGTAGTTTCTGAGATTAGTGAATTCAAACAAACAAACAAACTGCCTCTTTATATATAGATAGAATAGATATTGATAAAAATAATTAATGACTTATGTTAACCACTGATAAGTGTTCCTAAAATTTTAGTTAAGTACATTATGATTATACTTTTATACTTATTTTTTTGTTCATCGTATTTTAATACTCAATTTAAATCTTTTGTGATAGTAAAAAAGCTGATCACTATTCAATTTATGTTTTGTAAAAACCTTCTAATACAATTTAAAAAAAAAACTTAAAAAATAAGCTCCCTATTAGGCTTTTCTCGAAGGTCCCACAATACTTTAGAAACGTATTTTCGGATTTTGCCAAAGTTTTGAATTGTTTTCTGCCAGAACCTGAAATAAACCATAATCACAGTTAAGTGCCAAAACTACAAAATAACGCTACAAATTACTAAATAACGCTAGCAAGAAAGCTCAAAGGCATCTGGCCGAGTTTTATTAAAAAAAAAAATTGTATCATTAGGTTTTTGTAAAATTGATATTTTTAATTTTTTTTAAAAAGACACATCACTTTAGGATTACGATCGTCTACTTGAAAAATTTACAATGTATACTAAGTTTATGCCCAAGGCAGTGGTATATGGTGGTGTAAAGTGGTGGAATACAATACTAAGTTTAAATTTAAAGGGGCGTTTTAAAATAATTATTGCATAATAAATTCAATATATTTCATAATGAATTATTTCAGAAATGGTTCGATTACAAGCTGCAATGGAATCCCGACGACTACGGCGGAGTGGAGATGCTGTATGTGCCATCTGAACACATATGGCTACCGGATATAGTGTTATATAATAATTGGGATGGCAATTATGAAGTAAGTTTAATTGAAATGCTATTTATATAAGGCAATTTTCTTTAATTAGATATAGCAGATAGAAAACTAAAAATTATATGGATATCATTGAATTTATCTAAGTCGTCCTGTGTTTCATTTAAACTTTTTTTCTGCGTCATTATTTTTGAGATAATACTAAGAAAATACGTATTTTTGGGTCTAAGAATATTTCATGTACTATTAAAAATATTTCATTTGTATTTCAGCAGTTCTCATGGTATAGGGAAATGAATAGTTTTTTAAATGCTATATATTTGCTGCTATGTCAGTGGAGCATATTGCTATAAATCATATGGAATGTCAGGAGCCAAAAATCAAAATAAACCCATGATAGTATCTGTAAAGATAGTTTTATTAATCTAACTTTGCCAAATTCAATTCAAATTCAATCAAGCTCAATAAAGCTCAAAAAAAGCTCATACTCGTAATAGAGCTCAAAAAAGCTCATACTCGTAATATGTTTAAAATGGTTTACAAAATTTTTAAACTATAAATAAATGCGGCTTGCGCCACTGTTTGAGTATATGCTACCGAAAACTAGTTCTTTTAGAACAATTTCCCTTCAGTAAAGCTTCACCTAAGTCAAAAATGAGTACTAGAAAAATTACAGAAAATGATTTATTTGCTACTCTTCAAATCAATTTTTACAAAGAGATAAGAAAAATTTTATATGATAATTTTTGCTATTGATGTAACATGTATGTATGTCACAAATGTAATTTTTTATTGAAATCGATGTTATTTAATATAATAATAATTTAAGAAATTCAGCTTTAAAAAAGGAAAAAGAGGTTGAATGTTTGTCTATTTTCAACCGACTTCAAAAAGGAGGAGGTTCTCAATTCGACTGTATTTTTTTTTTTTTTTTTTTTTTTTTTTTTTTTTATGTTTGTTACCTCAGAACTCCGTCATTTATTAACCGATTTGGACAATTTTTGTTTTGTTTGAAAGGGTGTACTTCCAGATTGGTCCCATTTAAATTTCAAAAAAAAATACCACCCCTAAGGGTGGAAAAACAACTAATGATGAATTTAACCTACTTCTAATTGTCATATTGACTTGAAACTTTGCAAGTATTTCTATTTCCGTTGATAGTACAGTGGTTCGGTGTTGTTGACCTGATATGATGGCAAGGCCAGAAGGTGGATAGGTGGAACTCTTCAACGGCTAATAGTAGATACTTTGAGTTTGGGCTTATTTTGTTTGATTTGACAAGCCTAACACGTTAGAATCCTTACTTTGCTACTACTGTCTACACTAAAAGGGAAAAATAAAAACTTTTTAACAAAAAAATAAAAACCGACTTCAAACAAAAGCACTAAAAAGTAACAAATAACTGATTGGTAGTTTTCATTTACTATACATACCTAATCAAATATTTTCGAAGTCGGTGTGCTTTGGCTAAGTAATTAAAGCCTACCTATTAAATACATACCTAATCAAATATTTTCGAAATCGGTGCCAGCCCATACAAAGCAAAGCACACCGACTTCGAAAATATTTGATTAGGTATGTATAGTAAATGAAAACTACCAATCAGTTATTTGTTACTTTTTAGTGCTTTTGTTTGAAGTCGGTTTTTATTTTTTTGTTAAAAAGTTTTTATTTAAGTAATAAAGTTATAGCGAGAAAAACTAAAAATCTATCTGATTAAAAATGACGACACGTGTATGAAGAAACATGAAAATTTACATTGAGACTCTTTATTAATAGGGTGTAAGATTCAGCTAAGAACGCATATTATGGAAATATAAATATATAATATTATATAACATATAAATAAATATATAGGGTATATATATTAAATAATTTATGCCAACAGGTAACTCTAATGACGAAAGCCACGTTAAAATACACAGGCGAAGTGAATTGGAAGCCTCCAGCTATTTACAAGTCGTCATGTGAGATCAATGTAGAATATTTTCCTTTTGACGAACAAACGTGCTTCATGAAATTTGGTTCGTGGACATACAATGGCGCTCAGGTAAATATAGCTTTCAATAATATTATAGACTAGCAGAACCCGCGGCTATGCCCGCGTTTAATCTACAAAAAAAAATGTATGGAAGTCTGCTCGATTTGTTGACATTTATGATTACTGCTCCGCTCCCTTGGGTAGTAGCATGATGATATACAGCCTATGACCTTCCTCAATAAAGGGCATATCTACTGCAAAAAGAAGTTTTCAAATCGGATTAGTAGTTCCTGAGATCAGCGCGTACAAGCAAACAAACTCTGCCTCTTTATAATATTAGTATAGTAGACACATTACCATTTTTACTAGTTGGAATTATGCAGAAATTTGATAGTTGAACAGCTTTAATTTGTGTTCTTCTTCTGGATCTTTTGTTTTTTTTATGTAGATGGCGTTGATCTGCAAACTGTCCAACAGTTTATTTTTTAATATGTATTTACTTAAATATGCAATTATAGAAAAATTGACTTTGTATTTAATAAAATAAAGATTGAATTTAATCGTTTGTTTAAAAATTTACAGAGTTAGTCCAAACTCATTATCATCATGTCAGTGAGTAAATGAATAGGGGTTTTGATTAAGTAGTCGATGTGATTCTTCCTCCTGCGAGTCATTGAACTAAAGAACCTCGAGTAGGACTCTACTTAGTGTATGTTTTGTTAGTTTTAGTTTACAGTAATTCTTCCTTTACAGGTTGATTTAAAACATATGGACCAATTGCCGGGCAGTAGCTTAGTGCATGTAGGGATTGATTTAAGCGAATTTTATTTATCTGTTGAATGGGATATACTTGAAGTGCCCGCGACTAGAAACGAAGAGTACTACCCTTGCTGTCCAGAACCGTTTTCAGGTAATTATGGTTCTATTACATTAATAATAATAATGTCCTTCCGATCCAAAGCGGCCAATCTCTTTGAAACTAGCCAACTGCGCAGGAGATATTATAGTGTACAAGTGTACGCGCAGACACAACGTGCACTCTCTATTCCTGTCACTCTCATACTCCGGTGGGACGACCACTCGACACTCGCGGTGAGAGTGTCGGCGCAGGACCGACGGCTTTACGTGCTCTCCGAGGCACGGGGGTGAAACACCGCCAACTTCCCAACTCCGGGCTGTTACTGAGACTAGCTCTATACAGAAAGACTCAATAACTAAACTTTGTTTCGACCCGGGACTCGAACCCAGGACCTCCGGGTGTGCAGCCGTACATGCTAGCCACTACACCACCGAGACAATTAATTACATTATATCAATATAAAAAAGATTAAATAAATAATTGAAGCGTACTACTAATATATGAAATAAATATTTATGTTAAGTTTAATGTATGTTTGTGCGTGCGTGTACATACATATGTGAAGAAACATTTCTTTATTAAAATGTATGTCTTCTTCTGGACTGTTATAATAATAATATTTTAGATTATATTTTAAAATGATGCTGTGATACCTACAATAGCTCATGAATAGAAATAGCAAAAATTGTACCATAATGATAAATTATTAAACGTTTAATCAAATATAATATAAATCAAATACACACTGCAATCTAGAACGATTCCATTTTGATTATAATTTTCATTTTCTTATAAGTTAATTTTGTTTTTTTTGTTTAATTTTTAACGTGTTTAATTTTTTATTAATATATTTCATTTGATTCAACATCATCTCCCTGCCCATTTCCCAATCACTTGGGGTCGGCGCAGTACATCTTCTGTACTGCTGATAGGATTTGGCAAAAGTTTTACGACCGGCCGCCTCGCGCCCGCCTGACTTCAACCCTCCTTGGGAATGCTATCGTTTATCGCGACCGCCTTATACTGTGCATATTCGATATTGTTTTCTTTTGAATCACTTTTTATTATATTACTCCAAAGTTTTAATGAAATTTTTGATATATTTGGGAATAAATTTTGAGCACACAATCAATTTTATTTTGACGTGATGATTATGTATCTCATTTGATCATACCATATAAATGATTTATAAACTTCCTAATGATTGCATGCTGTATTTATTTGCCTTAAAAGATAATGCAATTGGAGTCAAGCTACACTGTATTTATTTTTTCTAACCAATATTGTATTGGTGTGATTATCACTGTTGGATTTAAATAAACAAAAAATAAATCAAAATCGATTAATAATAAGTAATAATTATTAACACCTCCAGGTAAATTTCTAAGAAATTAATTAAATTTCTAAGAAATCTATTGTTAACTGACACGCCGGCGTGTTCTCGGTCGTTAATTGTTCGTGGAGGAATTGTTAATTATTACCCATGAACGAATTGACAATTCGTCCATGTTATTACCAATCGTTATATATCATACAATTATATTTTTTTCCTATATTTGCATAGATTTATTCGTTAACGATTGTAAAGTGACACCATGTCTAAATTATATATATTTTTAACAAAAGACTTATTTTGTTTTAGATATAACATTTAAACTGACAATGCGAAGAAAAACTTTATTTTATACAGTGAATTTGATAATACCATGTGTTGGGTTAACATTTTTAACTGTGCTAGTATTTTATTTACCATCGGATTCAGGTGAGAAGGTAAGTTGACTGATTGTTTAATTATTATATCTGCTATATATTTTATTGGCAATAATCATTGGTTTAACATTCCATTGTCTTGTGAGTAAAGTTTTTTCAAAATTAATTTATAATACTAAATTGTACAGTGTGTTTGTTAGTTACATCATAGTATAATAATCCATACATATATCGTCTAATGAAGGGCGAAAAGGGGGAGAGCGAGGCGCACCCGACTGTCCTACTTATTTTTATATGAAAATCGGGAAACGGCCTTAGGGTTTATTGGTAATATATAACTATACATATATATATATATATATATATATATTTATATATATATATAGTGCTTGCTTGTCAATATAGTGCTTTAACTTCAAGATTAAGATTGGTATTAGCCTTGTATTTGTCAGCACTTCCGTTAAAATCAAAAGCGATCGCCTACTGTATGGATTTTTATACTGTGTTTTTATTATGAATGGAGCGAAATTTGCTGAATATTGCTATATTCTCAAAACCAAAAAAAAAGTGGGAAAAAATAAAAACAAATACGATGTAAATTAATCTATACACAAGATATCGTTATACACAAAACTGTTTAAATACTCGATATTATTTGCGGTTTCTAACACATCTCTAATATATATTTATAAAACTTAAATGACCCTTTTTAAATAAAGCTTGTACAAAAAGGACTTAAAGATAATTTTGTACCGTCTTTATCGATTGAAATGGAACGTTGCTGGAAGATCTGAAGTAAGATTTTCTCATCTTCTTATCGGATGAAAAGTATTTTGATAAATATAATTCATATGTCTAACGAAATATGTAGGCTACTTTTAAATTTTTTCTTGGTCTATACGTAACATAAATCTGAAGTTAATTAAATATATTAAGTATGGTATATACGAAAAAACTAGAGTGCTTGCAAAATATCGACCATGAATATTTGTTTTGCAGGCTTTGATATTATATTATTTGATACAAAAAAGGAACACACAGCATTATGTTACTAATAAAATAAGTATAAAAAAACAGTACAATCAAACAAACAGAAAAATTGTTGATTATACGTTTTTTAATATTTGACTACGTTATAATTTAATTATATTATTTCATTAGCAATAACAATAACTAATAAGTATTATTAATATAATATATTTATATATAATATCAGTCTTAAATAATTATTTTTCTTAGGTAACAGGTAATAAATAGTTATTTTTATAGAATAGTATACTGTTTTATAATTTAAGTCATTGGTAAATGATTTAAGGGTTTAAATATAACTCATATAGTTAGTAATGATCGTATCATATTGATTTCAATTCACAGCTAGCAATATATCATTACTAGACTACTTTAGCTTCTGAAGCTATACATCGAACATTTTAAAGATAACGGATAGTAGTTAAAGATATTACCGGCGGCCGTTTAGAATTGGGGACTTGGCCCCTAGCGGAGTGGGTGGTATTTCTGGATAAGGGACGTGATAGGGAGTCGAAATGTTAAATAAAAATTGTCCGCGAACGTATGAGTAAAAAGTTATTGAGACTTAAAGTTACAACATTTCCATACATTATTTTGACATTACTACCATTTAGACACTTGGAGTCAAAACGTCACTTTCAATTGTCAAAATGATCTCCAGATGATTGTCTTTATTTGTACTTTGCGTGAAATTCGAATTTTCTAGTTTTCTAGTCATTTATGGCACTCGCCGGCCGCTACCGCGGCACGCTCGCTTCGCTCGCTCGGCTCGTGCGTTGTGGCAACTGTTCTAACCTAACCTAACCAAGATATGAGGAATAATAAATAAATAATCTTAAATGTTCTAACCTAACCTAACCCAGATATGAGGAATAATAAATAAATAATCTTAAATGTTCTAACCTAACCTAACCCAGATATGAGGAATAATAAATAAATAATCTTAAATGTTCTAACCTAACCTAACCCAGATATGAGGAATAATAAATAAATAATCTTAAATGTTCTAACCTAACCTAACCAAGATATGACGAATAATAAATAAATAACCTATGTCTTAAACTAACCACGATGTCGCAAAATAAAAACCAAAAGTAAATAATACATTTAGATTTTAAAAATAGTCTACTCACGTTTATAAATTGTTTACACTAACACTATGAACACTTAAAACTATAAAAATAATATTAAAACAAAAACAAGAAACGAAAGTATATAAAAATTAACAAAAACTAATAACTAATGGAAAATACACAGAGTACAGAGTCACAAATTATGAAACTTCGCGGTATTTTAAGAACACCCGCCAATAATACTGAAAAATATTCACAGATAAAAAAATGTTTTTTTTTTTACTAAATGTACAATTGTAAAACAATATATTTTACATAAATCAGATAAAAAATCATAAATGTATTTATGAAATGAAAATAATATTTTTCTTTTTATTTATTTATTTATTAATATTAATATTTTACCAACAGAAAAAGCAAAAATAATCAAATATAATCTGTTGTCATTTAAGCGGTAATATAAAACAAAGTGTCAGTTTTGCTTTTGTCAAAATGTAAGATCATTTTGTTTGTGTTGTGAAATTATTAAAATATTAAATACAATAAAGCATTAATTGTTGTGAAAATGTGTAATGTACATAAAAAAGGATGCGTACTATTCGTTAAAGGTATGTTTATCTGTTGTAATCACTTATTTAGGTAAAGAAATGTATGGAAATGTGTTAGATATGTTATAACTTTAAGTCTCAATAACTTTTTACTCGTACGTTTCCTCCAAATATTTTTAATATATTTTGACTCTCTGTCACCTCCCCTATCTAAAAATACCACCCACTCCGAATGGTGGTAAAGAAATATATGAAAATGTATGGAAATGTTGTAACTTTAAGTCTCAATAACTTTTTACTCATACGTTCGCGGACAATTTTTATTTAACATTTCGACTCCCTATCACGTCCCTTATCCAGAAATACCACCCACTCCGCTAGGGGCCAAGTCCCCAATTCTGAATTTGTGCCATATTACCTACGTATTATGTCGGTAATCAGAAAGAATTATTGCATGCACTTTTTAACTTAAAAGGTACACGGACTTTAAAATCACTTTAATATATAACGATTGTATTTTTAGCGTAGAATATATCTGCTCATTGAAATTTATAATTAAAATCGGTTCTTAATTTGTGAATATAAAATATAACATAACACAGAAGATGTATATCGCCATCGAGTATTCCCCATGTTTGAAGTATGTTAAAAAGTGTTTGGTACCATTCTGTAACGGTTGGTAGTACCGGCTTCTCTAGCCGATGAGTTTCACATAACCAGCTGTATATATACTGGTAATATGCGTAAAATAGGGGTTGTTCACATAGTAAAATTTAAGAAAATAACACTTTAGGGTGCAAAAGTCAGTGTACCTTTTTAGTTAAATATAATTACAATAATAGGAATTTAGAAGCAAATCATATACAAATTACATAACCAAAAATGTATAACTCATCATAATATTCAGCAATTTTCGCCATCGATATAGTATTTAGAAATACCATTCGTTCATTTATAAGATTTGCACGAAATTTGATGTTTAGGGGTTCTAACACTCACTCGTCCATCCTAACGTCCGTTAGTCCATCCACCCATGCCTGCCCAGTAACAGTCTTTTTTGATCCATTAGCTAGATGTGTGTGTGCTATCATTAATTTGCTTATCATTTACTGTTGTCTTTCCACCAGATTTATAAATAAATGAATTTGATATAATATTTTTATTTTCTAAATTCTTAACGTAGTTCTCACTTTATTTCTCCTGTTTTCATTTATTTATTATTTTGACGTGAAACGTCTTTAAAATCTCATCGAAACATACAGATAAGAAAAGAGGACCGTAACGAAATAGGTTGCATTAGGTTGCCATATTAAAAGTAGTTATTGTCCGAAAAATGATATATATGGTATTCTTTTCGTTGCTATCTTCAAAGATTTCTATTTTCACCAATTTGTTTTCAAATATTCAAAATATTTATAAAAAAGCAAAAAGACTAAAAGCGACTAGCTGATATAGACGTTTCACGTCAAACCAACGGCGGTGTGCCCAACACAGCCCTACCCTATTTTTTTCTTCAATCTAATTGTGTTACTTAAATCTTCTTCTAAATTCAACTATAGATTTATAACTTTATTACTAACTCTAAAACCATTTAAATTCTACTCTAATTTACTCCAATATTATATTAAATAATCAACATAAATATACAACAATAAACCATTTTAAACATCAACAATCAATAATTAATAATAATTAATTTGTGACAACCCTAACCCACAGTGGAAAGACAATACATGTACAAAATCATTCAAAAGAGACTTTTCTCCTTAGATATCGCTCTGCATCTCCATCCTGGTGTCCCTCACAGTGTTCTTCCTTGGCCTGGCTGAAATCATACCGCCAACGTCGTTGGCGATTCCCTTGCTTGGGAAATATCTGCTATTCACAATGATTCTAGTGTCCCTAAGTGTTTGGGTCACTGTATGCATTGTAAACGTACATTTCAGGTAAATTATATTTCTCCCGTAGATATCGTTAAGCATCTCGATTTTGGTATCGTTGACTGTATTTTTCCTGTTGCTGGCTGAAATAATACCGCCCACGTCTCTAGCGATACCGCTGTTAGGGAAGTATCTGCTGTTCACTATGATACTGGTATCGTTGAGCGTTTGGATGACGGTTTGTGTTCTGAATGTACATTTTAGGTGAGTTTTGTTTGTCTTTCCTATCGTTCTTCTTGACCGACTTCAAAAATACGTGCTCAGTTCGGGTAATGTCTTAGTAATCTTTGCTGTTTTGAAACCAATAGGGAATGTGATTTAAAAAAAAACGCTAACATCGTTAAAGATATAAGTGTAAAAAAATATCTAGCTCCAAAAAACGAAAATTTAGTATAAAAAAATAATAACGTGGGTAAACAAAACGCCCGCCATTTCGCGCGCTTAGCGTGACCTCAAAGTATCATACATAGAAAAATTATGGCTTTAGTTTATAGCGACAAAATCGCTAATCGCTCTGGTATATTTGCACTTTTTAATCATTATTTTCTTAATCATAAAGAAATTACATTAAAAAATATTAATATAGACTTATTTCAAAAGCAATAAAGATTATAAAAAAATCACCTTTACTTAAATCACATGCATATTTCCTATTGCGATATTTTAAAGATATTTTAACAAATGTACGTAAATGTGTTTATATATAACTGTCAATAAAAAAATGTCACCCCTAAGAATGGAAAAATTACATAGTATGATTTTGAAGTCGGTATAACTTTTTAGTTGAAAAGTAGTTCGCTTTCTTTTCTCTTTTTTAGTGTTTTTTGATTTTTTTTTAAATAAAATAAATAAAAACACTATTAAGGGTGTATGCACACGACGACTTTTTAATGCGTTACCGACGTGAATTCAACGCGCAAAGTATTTAGTGTGAAAACGCTTTTGCTACGCGCTTGTTTGTATACATAGATACTGCAAGCACTGCATTTTTTAAAGTCAGTTCACAATATGTGTAGTAAGTAGTGTATAGTATGAAGTATGTAGTGGACGGTGTACGTTCATAATACGCGCGTTTTTACGCGTATAAAAAACGTTGTGTATATATGCCTTTACATAACAAAGTATTTTGTACTGGTTGATACTTGCGCTTATAATAATTAACGTAACTAATAATAGTATAAGTACAGTTAAATATTCAAAATATTCGACATAAATAAATCCAGCAGCAGTTACCTTTTTGCATAATGCGAATGGTTTTTTCATATTTTTTTTCCAATTTACTAAAAACATTCGATGTTGATATTTAAGGTCCCTTATCCATATCATCTAAGCGTCTGAAATATTATGTCTAAACTTAGTAATTTATCAACGCCCAGACATAATCTATAGGATAAAAAAGTCAAGATATGTTGTGGGAAACCCGGTCGAAACGAAGTTCCTTTCGCTGTCTGGTCTCATATATTAGGTCATAAAAATTGTTACGAGTACTTGGGTATTATAAATATCAAGGAATGTTCATTATAGAATTCGTTGGCTCACTATTACAAGGTTCTATGTTACAATTTTAGTACTTATTTAGTTATTAATGCTAGAAGGTTGTATGTGTCATTAGCTACAGTTTTGCAAAAACAAACCACTAGATAGCGGCACTATAACTGCAAAATATTCAATTTTACATAGTTTTATGTTGTTTTTTTTACGATAACAAAATAACGAAGTTCTATGTAAAAATTACTAAACTTCGTTAAAATTAACATAGAACCTTGTAATAGTAAGCCTACGAATTAATTATCTGAGGGCCCGTAATAGAAGTGCATACAGCTACTTACTACATACACTCCTTAACACTTAATATCGCTTGGCACTTATCATGACGTTAGATGGGACACGCTCTTCTTAAATAATAAAACGTGTCGTGACGTTCGAAATATTACACTTGCTTACATCTAGGTCTCATTCGCCTAGTGTGCCCGTATAACATGCGATAAGGAACTTTGTTTCCATCCGTATTAATATTATAAATGTGAAAGTTTGTGAGTGTGGATGTTTGTTACTCTTTCACGCCAGAACGGCTGAACGGATCTGGATGAAATTTGGCATAGAGATAGATTATAGAAACTTTTTATTCCGAAAAAATTTACGATTCCCGTGGGATAGGTTTGTTTTTGTTTTCCTAGAGACGAGTGAGCCGCTAGTAAATAATAGTCACTTAAAAAGTTTTTTTTTTATTTCAACACATACATAAGAAGATAATAAATAATAACAAATTTTCCGTAACTTATAAAATAAGTTTTATTCTTTGATGCAAAATAACAAATTTAAATATATTCGGTAAATATTATATATTATAATATAAAAAATATTTAAATATAATCCTACAGTTCCCATAAACAAAAAATTCTGATTTGAAAACCAAAATAATATATGTATTTAGATAGCCCGATAACATCAGAAGCTATCATCACACGGTTTAAATTGCAAAATAAAATAGATAGTCTAAAATTCAAGCATAAAGGCCCATAAATCTACGGTTTCATTGTAACGACTCGATAACGAGACAATGCCGTGTGAAATATGCGATGGTGACTGCAACGCTTATTGAATGGGTATGATATGTTACATTGTATGTTGGTATGTGTCGAAGGGGAAAATAGAAAACTTGAGTGTATTATGAATTTGGTGTTATTTTGTTTATATGTATGTATTGTATTAGGGTTATGGTGTTTTTTTAAGATATTATGTAGGGTCTATGATGACTTTAATTGGGAACTTATTTTGGGGTAAAATTAGAATTTCAATGTTTTATTGAGTGCATCAAATGAAACGACTTTTGAAACTATAGTTTTGAAAATTAGTTTTGATTTTTAGTTTTCGACGTTACAAAATTATACATAATATATGATCACTGTATAATTTTTTGGGTAGGTATTGTCTGTTACAAATATAAAATGACCTTTGAAACGTCTAAAACCTTAGTCTCTCTGGTAACCATGATTGCACTAAAGCGTTCGAAAGATCGGGAACCAAAAATCAAAATAAATCCATTAAAAATCCGGAATTATAGTTTTATTTAAAATGTCAAGTATTCACGTAGATCTAAGAAAGTATTATTATTTATTTCATACTTAAGAGATTTAAAATTCCCACCATATACATTTTCCTTATAATAAATATTAATATTACATAGCTTGATGATTCTTTTATATAACAATTTTTATTAAATATAACAAATAACCTATAGGTCACCATCAACCCACACCATGTCACCGTGGATGAAGAAGCTCTTCCTACAACTAATGCCCAAGTTACTTATGATGAGACGCACTAAATATTCTCTACCGGACTATGACGATACATTCGTATCAAATGGCTATACCAATGAACTTGATATGAGGTAAGTATTATGAACTATTGTTTTTTTAGAAATTACATTAATATCACAGAAATATTTTTGATGTGAAACATCTAATGCAGCGGGTGAAGCCGGCTGTTGGCGTCGCCACATGGCCATGTTCTCGTAACTCTCAGACTCTATTTCCACTCAGCTCAGCGATTTTCTTTTCCCTCTCTCTTACTACGTTAAGCTCCTATTTTAATTTTTAATTTTGGTATAAAATTAAGATGTATTTTTTAAATCTTTACGTGAGGTGGAACTAACACTTCTTTGGCAAATATCGCGAACAAATTAAAACAAATCAATAATAAAATAAGGCATATTAGGCATTTTACAATCATATACTTATAGAATATCATATACGAAAAGAATATTATATTGTATATTTGTCAGACAATAACAACGGTTGCCATAGCAAAATGGCAATGTATTCTATGTCATTCTGTCTCCGGCTTAATCTTATATATTTATGTATTTGTCTCTTTTCAGTGTTGCATTTTCGTTTCATCTAGTTTCAAATCATAGCGATTCTAAAGAAGTTTCACTTCAAAAATATGAATATTTGGTTTTTAATTATATCATATTTACCGCCTTTAAAAACCATTCTGTCATGTATATTTTCTATATAAAATAGTTTCGATGTTTCACATCTGTCAGGCATCCCGTGATGACTTTATTTTTTGTTTTTATGATAAAAGTAAAAATTTCCATTTAAAAAAAGTCCCTTAAGTTTATGATATTCTATTTATACAGGAAAAATATAATGTTTAGTTCTATTGTCATTATTTTTTTGCATATACAGTCCGAGAGCAACATAGGTCACTTTTGAATACTATTTGTTAAAGTAACTCACTACATTTTATCCCCATCCCGCTCAGTATGGGAGCAAAATAAAATAGTATGTATATAAATACCAGAAGAAGAAAATACTCTTTCATATATTTGTAATATGTGAAAAGTATTTTTTCATATTAAAAAGGGTATTATAAGCTGTAGATTTACCGATAGCTAGTAGATATCCACTAAAAAAGGATTTTTTGTAAATTAAATCCTTAAAGGAGTAAAAAAGAAGTTGGAAAGTACAAAAACCCGTTATTTTCTTACTCCGCACAAAACCGTGGACATATGGTAGTATTATATATACAGGTGCCGTAGCTATGCCAATGCAACCAATAATGATTCAAGTGGGCCCCAATGGGCCATAAACGATTCTTTTATTTAAAAATATTTTTTACGAGACGGTCCTCATGGAAGTTTTAAAAAAAGCTCAAGAAAAAAGTGTCCTTCGCGTATTATTTTTTTTACGAGGACCACGAAGAATGTGATCTATGAAACGTTGAATATTTCTCTAAGCTCAGCTTTTTTTATTTAATTTTACTCTACCCGATATTCCATGAGTGCGTCGCGTGAGAGAGATAGAAGTGAGAAATTCGAAAGCTGTCTCTGTCATATTCAAGTATATAAGAGTGCGATTTTTTCACGCTGGTTTTTTTATTTATATTTGATGTGCGAAAAATCTTAAAAGAAGACATTTTAAAAGAGCCACGGAATTGTATGCTATGTAGTAAGATATTAAGCTATGTTACTATTTGAATTTAATTAATGACTAGCATTGCCTGCGGCTCCGCCCGCGTTCAGATGATCAAAAAGCAAATTCTTAGGTTTTTACATATTAGCACACTCTTATAATGCAGTTTTTGTATTTTTTCCCAGAAATGAGATATTTTCCCGCGGTAAAAAGTATCATATATGTTGATTATTTCAATAAGATTTAAAAAAAAATGTTTAATGAACAGATTCGGCTTAGTTACAATTTTATTATATGTATAGATTTTCAACCACTAGCACAGGTTATATATTGTATGTTGTATTGTGTATAAAGTACAACTTGAGATAAAAAAGAAATGCAATTTCAGTTTTTATTCATTTAAAATGAAACCCAGCCTTCATGTGTCGAGTGCCGACTAGCCAACTTTTATATTAACGCTAAATAACAATGTTATTTAATCCGACAGAAGTTGCTCTATTCCAATTTAATAATTTATAATCTCAGGTTATAATACATTCAATTGTAAGTTTCTCCTGAATTTCCCAATTTTCCGGGACATTTTCCAAAATCTTTTCCTTAAAGCCTTATTCGGGCTACAAACGTTACAAAATAGCCAAATCGGTCCAGTTGTTTTCACGGGATTCGCATACCAACGAAAAGTAATTAATTTATTTCGATCACGCATTCGAAACGTCGGGAGACAAAATAAATCCGCGGGAAAATCTGAAAAGATAGAATTAGACGAATTTAAAATGTCAAACATACGCGTAAATCTAAGAAAGTATTATATTTTATTTCAATAGACTAATTATGTTCAATAACTAATTGTGTTTCTTGTTAATCTATACTATGATAAAGGAGCAACTTAGCAAAATCCGTTTATGAAACAATAGTTACCTATTAAAAATTTTGTCTGTTTGTCTGTTTGTGTGTGCGCGTTTCGCGCAATAAGTAACGAACCGATTTCAACGAAATTTGTTGAAGTGATAACGTATTTCTCGGGTCAACATTTAGGGTACCTTTTACTTCAGGAAAATCTTTCTTTCCCACGGGAATATACAATAACTGGTTTATAATATAATAAAAAAAATATAAATTTACATATAACATATGTAGTAGAGGACAGGGTGTGGGAATTTTTAAAGGGATATTTTTACTAATGTCATAAATGCCGGACCGTGTTTGTTGACATTTCCTTCGAAATTTTTGATACTATAAAGATGACGTCATAATACTATACAAATATAAATCCATCACATCAGCAAACATTGGCCGGGTTTTTTATTTATTATGTTATTGATACTCCATAGACCTGTTACCTGTTATTCTATTGATGTTTTGCTGTTAGCCTTATGGGCGTCGAGGGGATGGAAGGTTTGAAGGGAGGGAGGAGGGGGAGGGGGTGCTAGTTATCCTGCTTAAAGCCTACTTGTCGGAGTGCTCAACTCCATAGAGATAACATATAGCACAGTTTGTAGCGAGAGACATCGCTAATTGTTTTAAATGAATAAATTTTATCATATAAACGTAGAAATATTGGTTGTTTGAATAAATAAATATACCATTCATTTTCATCAGCTGCATAATTGCTAATTTACACTAAAAGATTTGAGGTGTAGGGAACATATATGTACCTATAAAAATCGCAAGATCTCAAGATGAGATCAAGATCAAGATGACCCGAATGGTCATCACTTGTTCTGTGTCTAGCGTAGAAAATAAATGTTTATCTTTTATCTATACATATAATAAAATACTAAGTCGAATCTGTACATTAAATATTTTTCGGAAAATCTTATTGAAATAGACATTATTATCGATACAGAGGCCGAATCTATAGTTTTTAGAATTTTTGTCTGTCTATCTGTTACCGCATCACGGAAAAAGCACTGGAAGGATTTTGATGAGATTTGATATGATGGTAGCTGGTTATCCGGGTCAACATATAGGACACTTTTTATCGCCGGAAAATATCTCATTTCTGAGAAAAAATACAAAAACTGCAATGCAAGAGTATACTAAAATATGAGACCTAAGAATTTGGTTTTTGGTCATCTGAACGCGGGCGGAGCCGCGGGCAATGCTAGTATACATATAAAGTTATCCTTTAATTTTCATATAATATATAGTAATTACATGTTATTTTCAGTTAAAGATAACATTATTTTTCATTAGTTTTTAGCTTTTCAAAAATTTTTAAGCTGTAACGTCAACAGTCAACATTAGTTCACATTTTCAAAACAAGCCCTCAACTTGTGGAAGTAGATAAAATCAAACATCAAAATCGATACTTATGAATAATAAAGGCTGTTGTAAATTTTTTTACGATTCCAACTTTTATTGTGAATAATGAAAGTATTGAAGCATGACTTTATTTCTCTTTATAAGCTTCTTATTTTATCGTAAACGTTTATGGGACGTAAAATATAAAGTATTTTACGAGACGCCATGTTTACGCCGCAGGCTGTGTTTTGTATTAGTGGTAATTTTAGTCGGTTCGATAACGTTATTTGTTGGCTAAGTTTAGACGTACTGAGAGTTATTGGTTATGTTTCAAATGAAATATGCATATTCTGTACCTCGATGTTAATTTATATGATTACGTGTTATTAGTATATGGCAGAGTGCTTTGGATTAATCTTTTGGTGCGAGATAATTGTGTTTGTCGGAATATAGGATATTTAGATTTTCTAATATAACTAAATTTTGCAACAGGGACAGTCTAACGGATGCATATAGCAATAAAGGAGATGACGGAGATTACAGAAAGTCTCCGGCACCTGAAGATGATATGCTTGGAGCTGGCGTACATCAACGGCCATCAGGTACGTATATAAAATCATATATATATATATATATATATAATACTAGTATTATTAAGTTAAATATTTTAACATTAATAATTGAAAGATTTTCTTTGCATTTTATACCCCATTTATTTATAGGCTGTCTAATATCACTACGACCTATAGGATTCAAGCAATACATATGTAAATATACTAATAATAGTTATATTTATTAATTAGAAGATAAATAACAAACAAACAATTTTCTTTTTTTTTAATAATCTATAACCAATCCCTCACAGTAACGGTGTCAGAGATCAAAATGCTCCACGATTTATTCAACATATTTTTCTATAAAACTCTTTTCTTTTAATTTTGAAAACATACTTTTGATGTTATTTTTAACCTTAATAATTGAAGTTATAAATCGGACAAATAACAAATAACCAATTTTCTTTTTTTAATAACCAATAACAAATTATAAGTAACAATAATAGGTAAATCTATTAACCGGACAAATAACAAATAACCAATTTTCTTTTTTTTTTAAATAATCGATAACCAATGCCCCGCAGTGACGGAGTCGGAGAACATGCTGCCGCGCCACCTGTCGCCGGAGGTGGCCGCGGCGCTGCAAAGCGTACGGTTCATCGCACAGCATATTAAGGACGCAGATAAGGATAATGAGGTTAGTAAATATTTATGGCTATAAACATGGTATTTAAGAAATTTTGTCGTGTTAAAATATGCTACTAACAGTGTTAAACGGATGTTTATCGTCTACTTGTTAAAGTGTTTATATTTTAAATTCTGTTTTACATTACTAGCGGCTCACCCTCGCTTTGCTCGGATTCTTCCCTAGGTATGTTTTAATGATAAGTGTACAATAGATAGACTATTTATAACATGCCATACCTACGTATCATTACATAGTATAAAACAAATTCGCTTTCCGCTGACTGTCTGTCCCTATGTATGCTTAGATCTTTAAAACTACGCAACGGATTTTGATGCGATTTTTTTAAATAGATAGAGTGATTCAAGAGGAAGGTTTATGTGTATAATACATGCATATTATGGTACAGAAAAGCTGAGAAATTCGAAGATTTGTATTTCATACTATTAAAACGTACTTAGGGACGAACCCGAGCGAAGCGTGGGTGAGTGGCTAGTATCAATATATGACCTCTTATGAATATAATGTCTTTTTCTATTAATCGAGTTGGCAATTATAGTGATATTAGAATATTTTAAAAGCTTATTGTCTAAGTAATATTTGTTTAAAAGGTGCAGATATGTACAAAATACTCTAGAACAGACTAAAACTTTAATTTTAAGGATGGAAATATATTAGCACATAAAGTGTAGGTGCAAACATAGACTCACTCTGTACTTTTATTCTTTTCTCTCTCGCTCTGTTAGTACGACTTTTCAACTCGGGTCTGGAAGTTACTGAGAATTTCTTAATAACGCCAATAACTCCAATAACACTTAACTCGATTCGGGGTCAAGACCCAATACCTAATAAACTGCAGCTATACAAGCTCGTCATTAAACCACCAAGGCATTCAAGCACCGAAGGTTTAATCGGTATAAATAATTATAATGACCCTTTGATCAGTGACTAGATAATTAAAAGCCGTATACATACATATATTACGCTATTCTAGTATTCCAGTTGATAAACTTTGGTCAAAATTAAACAGGCAGAAACCGTATACGAAAAATTAATAGTTATTCAAAAATATATGAAACTAGCGACTCAACCTCGCTTCGCTCGGGTTCGTCCCTAGATAAGCTTAGTATAGATTTTATATGCCTTACTTGAGAAATGATTAATTCCCCATACAAACTTCCACCCCCTTTTCACCCTCTTAAGGGTTGATTTCCGGGGTAAAAACTATCTATCCTATGTCCTTCCCAGGGTCTCAAATTATTTCCATATAAAATTTCATCTAAATCGATTCAGCGTATTAAGCGCAAAAAGGTAACAAACAGACAGAGTTTCTTTCGCATTTTTAATATTAGTATAGATTATTTTAAAATTGATAGACATTTCATTTAAAAATAGTCATAAAATATTTTTAAAAACAACAAGCAATCATCTAACTTTTTGATAAGTACATGCTCTAACATCTCAAAGATTTCATGCTGGAAGTTTCAAACAAGCTATGCGGATAAATAAGGATTTAGGTATTAGAAACGAACCTTTTCGCTTTATATCGGCTTATTTATGGTGATAAAATGGCGATTCATAAGTAAACTTGTGATCTGCAGTCTGAATTGTAACGTAATTGTTCAATTACACACCGTTGAATTTTTGGTACCTTTTAATTTAGTGATGGCGTGTTACAATTATTTGTCTCTTTATGCTCTTTGTTAGGCAAAATACGTGAATCATTAAATAATTTCAAATATGCAGAATTTTTCAAAATAGCTTTAAAATAACTTTAAAAACAAGCTTCTTAGTAAAATCAATCCATATTAATATTATAATTGTGAAAGTAACTCTGTCTGTCTGTTGACTTTTCACCTTTTGCTGAACAGGTTTCGATGATAATTTGGCAACCTAAAAATGCATTATGGGGACGACAAAGGCTATTTATTATACCCGTCGCAATGGATGATAATTCATCCATTGTGAGAGGAAGCGTGGGCAAAAAACTAGTTAAGAATTTATAATTAAAATAAAATAATAAGTAAATCTCAATACGATATCATTTTATTTTTAAATTATATGTATCAAAAATGACTGTTAGTAAAATTTACCTTGATTCCTTTATAAAAAAAAAAACAAATTTTGATAAAAAAACTTTCTACTTAGAATCCCGTCTAATTTATCTGGGAAACGGATCAGTAGTTTCAAAGATTACCTAATTTTAAACTTACAAACTTTTCCATTTTAAAGTATTCTATTCAACCATGAACAAACCTTAACCAGCAGAAATCTACATTTCTGTTATTAACAGATTCTAATATTATCACTAAGTTCGTGCGGAAATAGAAAATCCAATGCTTGAAACCCTACAATGTATTCTAAAATAGAAACCAACAGTTAGTGTTGCTATAATTAATTTTGTGTGAGACGTAATTTGTACTTTATGTGTTAGAATAAAACTATACATTGTTGCTTTCTACTAATGATTACAGCTGAATTTGTTTGTACTTGAACATTTATTTCTTACTAGCGGCTCACCCTCGTTTGACTCGGGTTCGCCTCTAGAAAAACAAGAACAAATCTATCCCACGGGAACCATACATGTTTCCGGGATAAAAAGTAGCCTATGTGCTATTCCAGACTATAATTTATCTTTGTGCCAAATTTTATCAAAATCCGTCTTGTTATTTCAGTGTGAAGGAGTAACAAATTCAAATTCAAAAATATTTTATTCAACATTAAATTATTACAATTTTTTATTGAACGTCATGAGTACTACTACACACGCATACCCACACACACGCACCCATATACATTAACACACATACGCACATACACACATTCATAGACGCTCAACGAATTTTAATGAAACTTATTTTACAATATGTCTATTTCGACTAATATTTCCTAAAACCACTAATATTTTTCTTAATAATCTCCTGCGAAAATACAAGCGAAAACCAAGCTTGTACCGTTAAATATATTTGCCCTACATTTTTATGATTTTAGCAATTGTGCACGCGAATGTACATTGTGTAGTTGAACAATGAAAAATGAAAATTTTTCTATAACGGCTTGCACCGACACGAACGTTGAGTTTGATTCCAATAAATATTGCGCTTTGGAACAATAAGAGTAAAGTGCATTAAAATTTGAAAAATATTCCTGTAAACCTACGAAGGTCCTTTTAAAAGCAAAGCTTAGTGCTATTGGGTGCGAAAGAGTTTTTTTATAAGATTTTTTTTTGGAATATATTAGTGTTATGAATGCGAAATTACGTCTGTTAGTTTATTCTTCTTTTACACATTAGTGCAGCAACTTTTTATTCTAATACAACTTGTGGTTTTCATGGTATATAATGCAAATATTCATTTTTTGTTTTGGATATAATTATTGAATATTGAACATATACATAAGATTTGGCAGTGATAACGTAGTGTGCATATTCTTCACCACGATTGGAGGTGTTGGGTTGGATTCTATACTCTTTCAGTTTAAAGCGACAGATTTGGTTATGTAGGATTCACTAGCTAGAGAATCCAGTACAATCGGGAACTGGAACCACGCCCGTTTTAATTGGATGTCGCAGGATAGTTTACATACTCAACCCCCGACGGCAGGTCTGCCCAGCTCCTCCCTACTACCTTCCCCCCACAAGGTGAACACACATTAGGGGGTGATAGATTATAACCTGGAGTAGCACATAGGCTACTGTTGATCACCCAAGGACGCACTCGAGCGAAGCGGAGCGATGATAAGTCGTTAGTATGATAATAAACAAAACATGCACAGCTTTTGTTTCAAAAAAGTATTAAAATATATTTATTCACAAAGATATTTAAATTAAAATATTGAATACCGGAAAATTCAATACTATTTTCAATTTAATTCAAAGATAATAATAGACTCAAAATTAAAGTTCGTATCGAAGTATTGTGCACAATTTATTATTACAGGGTGACCAAAAGTACAATTTATATCTGTTTATTATCTCTCTTCTCCCACAATACGGTTGTTCGGTCAAAGCGTGAATATTTAAGCGTACTGTAAATAAGCAACGTTTTAACAATAATGTTCGTTGACAAACGGCGCTTTGCACTCAGTTGATGGTATTTTTTAATTAAAATTCGTAAGAAATTTCAAAGGGCTACATAAAATAACAATAAAAAATTTAATTTTAGACCAGTTTTCATGTAAACCAAGGTAAATTCTTATCGCATATTTTATTATATATTTTGGATATTTTCAACGTATAAAATCCATTTCAAAAGATATCGCTTCCTCGCTTCGCTCAGGTACGTACCGTGGTGCCATAGCTTATGTGCAACTTTAGTTAATAGTTTATTTTTTAACTAAACATCCAAATCGGTCCAGCTGTTTAAGAATGAATAAATAAATAAATATGTTTGGTCATGGATACCAGATAGTTGATACACATCTATAACTTTAAATAGATAGATATTATAAATATAAACACCCATAACTGGAATACAGCCATTCGTGCTCATCACACAAATGAAAGCCCCCAGCGGGACTCGAACCCGCGACCGCTGGCACAGTAAGTACACTACAAACTGAGCCAAACGTGTCGACAAAATGAAGGAGTCACAAACATACACACACAAATTTTGTATTTATAATGGTAGTGTGATTGTTTCAGATAAATTTTAAGCCGTATCATATTTAAAGCTAGAACGACGGAACGTAAATCCCATCAATAAATCATATTTCCTCAGACAAGGTTTCCTCATTATTCAAAGACACCAGATTTAATCCAATTTTCCAAAAAACCGTTAACCTAATTCCATAAATAGTATAACGGCTTTATATATTTTACTCTGTATTTATAAGGGACAATTTCAGGGCAATTTAAAGTTATGAAGGGAAAGAAGGCCGAAGCACTCGTGCGATCGTAAAGAAGCAAGTTTTATTAGAAAAAGTTTTAGTCCGTTGATGTTCGTCTCATTAGGATGAGAAGATTTTGATTGCGCTAATAGCCTTATAAAGTTTACTATACGCTTAAAAGTTTT